ATTTTCTTTACTCATTTCAGTTATTACCAGCAAAATAGTTGCATTTTTAATCATCTGGGAATTTACCCAGATTTAATTACCCCCCCAATGTTCAGCACAAAGTTACGCCGATGCTTTTAGCTCATAGTGTATTAACCCACTATCGCTTTCAAACTGGCTTTCTTTAGCCCCTCCCATTTCTGCATAAAGAGTAAAAGGAAAAAACAAACATTCATCAGTGAAGTTTTGGTGAAATGATGGTTCCTTCTTAAGAAAAAAGCAACCAGTTATTTTCTTCAGCAGGTGTCATCACACAAAAAAGACTGTATTCTTGCATATGACAGTGTTGACGAGACTGCACACTTTAGTGATACCATCAACATATACTGTTAATGGTTCATTCTATTGACCTAATTGGACCAAATTAAAAGAGATTCACCAAACTGCTGGATTATTCTTAAATTGCTTTTTCAAAGTTTTAGCATTTAATTTCAACACGAAATCTTGGCCATCAGCACAAAACCTACAAGTGTAAAGACATACCCGCGAAAGGAACAAAGCTTTGTCAAAATCCATGGTGACATGAAATAGGAGTACTTTTATAGGCATCTAACCAGGAAAACAAGAATATTTTAATTATCGTTCAACAAGTACTGCATCAGAGCATCTCGTACTCCTCTGCAATGAAAATCACAAGAAGTCTCATAAGTCTCTCCATGATTTTCACGCAGATTGTTCAGAGAACTACAATTCTCTTTCCAGACAGAAACAGGAGTAAAACCTTTGCTTATATTGTTTTTGTTTGTTTGTTTTTTGTTAGGCTCTTTCACACTCCTTCATCATGTGTGTTCATTGTTGAGCCACTAATTTGCGCTGTTCCTTGTAGGTCATTATTGAAAGGAGCTCACTGCAACTTTCTATATAAATTGGGACACTGTTAGTAGAGAAAATAGAAACGGAACAGGACAGCCGTGCTCTGCCAGCACCACACCTGTTATTAACATATTTAAAGTGAAAATTAATATTAATTACCCCTGATAGTCCCTAATCCCCTCTTAAATACTCATCTGCACTCACTTTAAAGAATTTTCTTTCAAAAGGTCTAACTTACATATTATCATTAATGTGCAGTTTCTTCTCAACTTACTCAAAGGCTCCAGGAATTAAAACAGCAACAGCATAATGTGAAACTCCGAGCACTGACATTTCATCCAAACGTTATGTACTCAAACTAATTTTCAGTGTCTGGTTCGTCACCTCAGCGCTTCAGGTCAGAAGCGCAGCAAACACGAGAGCAGTTTCTAATGTCTCACTGAGTGGGCCAAAGTCTCCCACTCTACATCGTTATAACGAGGCCAGAGATCTTTCTGATGTATCTTGAGTCGATCTGTCCCTGTGTTAATGAAAATAATGTTTCTGCGCAGGGTGCGTAAATGTGCATGTCTTTTTCAGCAGGCTGTGTGCTCCGGGTACTTATAAAAATTCTAGTTTCTAAGGTATAAAATACGTAGTAGTCCATTCCTCTTTTTACATTCCAATATACTGTATCTCCAAAGTACGTTCGTCTTGCAACTACCACCACACGGCAGACAAGACAAAACTGAACCGCAGTGGTCTGCACAGGGCACACATGTCAGGCACACGCGCGCGCGGACACACAGAGACACACGTGTGCAATTCTTACAACTGCGATGTTTCTTAAGACACAACAGTCAATGTATGTAATAAACCTATTTGCGCACAGCTGACCACTTATCTTAGAACTTATCTTTTTCTCTCTCTCCTCGCAGTTCAAGAGCAAGACCAGATTAATGCGTTTCCTCCAAAACCAGAAAACCTGTCACAGCAGCTTCACCCACCACTCTTAATGGGTTGTGTGCTTGTAACAAATTAATGGACGTGATCTGTCGTTGTGTAAAAACGTCTAACTCGCATGCTGCCACACACCTATGTGTGTAATATTAATGTACACTTTTTACTCACCTTTGTGAAAGAGTCCACAAGTAAAAACGGCAATAACGTAGTTTACAGTTCCAAACTGTGACATCTTCACTCCATACATCCCTCCAAAGATTGAAACAAGCGCAAGACGCTTCCACGGTGATGCCTAAAGTATTCTTCACGAGAGCACATAAGCCAACAGCAAAAATGATATGTGCGGGAGAATATTACAATATCTTAATTCAGTACAATCCTAGTCAACACGCATCGCCTAATTACCGCTGTTAACTGCGCGTGTAACCCGGTTTTCCCCTCCTCTCATTCTCTTTATATTGTGCAATCCTCGCTCTCCACCAGACGAAGTGTTTTCCTGTCTCCTCTGCTCAACCCGCTACTGTACTCGATGAAAGAGTAAATGAACGCTTGAGCACTCATATATCAGAGGTAACGGCCTACTTTGTTTTCTTTCTGCAAAGGTAATATAAATGACACATGAAATGAAATCCCGTACATAGAAATCACAAGCACTCCGTGTGTTGGTGGTAGAAACTAGAATCAGCAAACTGATGTGCTGCCAAGTATCTGTGTACTACAGCTGTGCAATGTTTCAATCAAACACTTCTCCAGGCACAGTTTATTCTCATAAATAGATTTACTGTAGCAGGTGAGAGAGAAAAAAATCATAAACATGAAATAGATAGCAGGAGGAAACATCTGATGCTTCCTAAGAAAAAATATCACATTAACTTCTAAACTGAGAGAATTTGAGAACCAGTATATCGATGTGAAAAGCCTCGCTTCTGCCACATTTTGGTTGGGTGTATTATGAATGTGTGGATGCATTTATCAGATAGGAATATTGTTTCTCCGTGATTCCAGGTCAAAACGTCTTACCTTTAGACTTGGAGGCAGCTTTGTGAAACTAACAGACTTTATCTCTCTGCCACCTTCTTGGTGACTGTTGAGCAGTTCTGCAGTGCACAATTTTTAAACTCCAATTTCTTTGTAAAGTCTGGATTCGCTTGTTGACCAAAGAACTTGTTGGCAGTCATCTTTCTTTTCTGTTAAGATTTTCTGCCATATGACTTGAGGGACATGTTCAGAATGCATGAGCTCAGGATTTCTGCTATTGCCAGTCTGCTGTAGATCTGCACGGAGAAAATGGCAGGACTGTTACTGGTGCAGGGCTTAAGCCGTGTCCGACACAGAACGATTAAAACATTGACAGGACTGAAATTACAGTGAAACTCAGCACTCCACGTCACACGCTTCTTAAACTGAAGGTAACGAATCATTTTACAACCAAATCAAACTGATACAGAAAACAAATTATTTGTCTTACTTTTGGAACAAAAAACGCCATCAAAGAAAATATAAATATGACTGTACGCTCTGCCATTGGCCCGCCAAAATTCAAAACACATGGCTCTTGAATCAGTAGGTGTTCCGCTCAGTCAGGCTACAGTCTCACTGAGTGAGTGCGTCAAAACAGCAAATTAAATAGGGCCTCCTCCATTAATAAAAGTGACATGACATATCACAAATTTCACTTAAATAGCTAACGAGTCATCGATTTCATAGGTATTTGCTTTTTACAACACATATATTTCCCCCTCCTCTTCAGTGTGTCATGGAACATCCTCACAACTATCAGTTTCATTCTGAGTGTACTGAGATTAGTCCAAGCCGAAACTGTGCGCTTTTCTTGTTTAAGTCTTAGATGACAAAATGCGCATGAAAGTCATGAAGTCTTCAGTGAACTCTCTGCGCACTGTTCTTGAGTTAGTCTGAAGACCACATGAAGCTTAGAGGTTTTCAGTGACTGTGCAAAAGTTATGTGACATATGCGCGCTATGAGCCTCAAGGTCCGCTCTGTGATTTTACGTACCCGTATTTCATGACTGCACTTGTTGCACAGGTGGAATCCTATCACAGTACCACACTGCAGTTCTCCAGGCTTCTTTCACAAATGTCTGTAGAACAGTGTAAATGCCTGGGTGCTTGATTTTATACACTATGTGGACATGGAATGATTGAACACCAGAATTCAATAACTCTGAAGGCTGAGTGAATTATTTCCACTTGTGTGTGATGTGTTCTGTAGTGCTCATTGTGTCTGCTGTTGGTCCTGAGTGTGAACACACAAATGATGTCCTGCAATATTTGTTCCATGTGGTGCACTGGTTCAAGGTTTTTTTCACACACACAATAAGTCTCATTTGTCATTATTTATCATATTTACCGTGCACTGTGCAGCTGGTAACTGCAACACAGAGCTGATTAGTGAAGCGAAAGGAAGGAAAGATGTTGTAGGAGGTCATCCTACGGCTGTAGTGCCACCTAGTGGAAAAAAGTGCAAACAAAGGCAGTGGTTGGTGTGGCTCACCAAGGAACCCTTCCCAACAAATCTGAATGTATACATTCACGAATCAAGAATTCCTTCTTAATGTCCACAACAAAAATTGAACTACAGCTGAATTTAAAGGATTATTCCATATTCTTCTTCTAAATTTGAATCCATATTATGACCAGGTGGTCATTTTGAGCAATAGCAGGTGAGTGAGTCACATTTAGGCATAAATTACAACTAAACAGGCGCAATATGGAACCGTTATTATTCTATAGAGTAGTTATACTTGAAGTCACAGCAACAACCCAATATCCGCCAATCGGCAACACAAGTACGAAAGGAAAAAAATGATCTATTTAACAGAACACTTCACAGATCAAAGATGCTTTTATTATTTGGAAATCACTTTTTGGCACAACACTGGGATTTCTTTTCTTTTTCTTTTTTAATTATCGGGAGGAGGCCCCAGGACACGCTGGAGAGATTACATTTAATGAAATACAACTGCATCTCTTGGCTGAGCTGGTCTGGGCTTGTCTGTCACCTTCACTTCAGGTAGTGGACGAAAAATTGTTTTTTTCATGTGTGTTCAGTATATGTAAAACAAACAGTTTTACGTGCAGCTGTGCATGTGCCGCCAATCAAAAGCATCCATCTGATCATCTGTTTGATGAAAACATTTTTTGTAGAAATCTGAAATAAACCAAGACAAAAACAAGCAGGTTGACTTTGTGAAATTTATTTACCTTTGAAAATGTGTCAGTCAGCAGTACAGTGAGAATAACAGCAGTCTGCATGTGTTTAGACTGACAAACTGTAAGCCTGAAAATTGCTGTCTTTATGTGTGGAAAGGTAACTCATATCAACAGATAGTATACCTGCAAAACTACATGGAGACAATAAGGAGTGTTTTGCATTAAGTCCAGTTTGACACAGAGAAGAAGCAAAAGCGTCAAATGTTTCTTTACACTTTCTGATGAGCAGTGCAATGTTTGCAGATAAAAAAAACATTAAAACATTATTAAAACAATACTTGACTAGCACTAGGATGGTCTTACATTACTAAGGTGATAAATATTCCTGGTCTGAGTAACTGAACACAAATGTATGTGTTGGTTTTTTAACAATACACGTAGTAATAAATTGAGCATAACATGTTCACAGTGAACAAACAGAGACCTTCAGCTGCCATTTTCTGCAATTTCAGGTGGAAAAGTGTTGTTATTTACAAAAGCACAGTGCAGTTTTCATTGTAGTTGTCTCTGGTAGTATCAATTTAATCAATAAAATCAATTTAATCAAAGTTATTGATGAGAAAGGTTCATGTTAGCCACTCATGCTCGTTTTCACAGTTCACATTTCAAGTAACTTAATGTTTAAATATCTGACAAAACACCAAAACATGACTTTTTATAAACAGCACCATTTCAAAGATATACAAAAAATAAATAAACAGCACAAAGCACTGAGATAAAAAAAAAAAAGTAACACTCTGGCATAATGAACTGACACTCCTCAGGAAGTGTCTGCCTTCTGCCGCTGAGTGTCTGAGTGTCCCTTCATTTGACTGAAAATGGTCCAGTTCTAAAAATAAAAACAAAAACATTTTAGCATCACTGTGTTAATATTGCTGAATAAAAATATTTTTGAACAAAGAACAATAGCTTAGACAAACCAAAGACGGGTTTGATGAATTAGAAAGAAAGTAGAAAAGTAAAAGGTAAGTTGGAAAGAATTGAAATGTGAAAATATCCTGAAGAGTGAAAAAGAAACCAGCAACTTTCCGAGTGCAGTCTGGCAGGATGAAGAGAGACTTACTCCTGAGTGTTTCTTGTTTCAGTTATAATTCACCATGAGCTCTCTGTGTGACAGACAACAGATTTAAGAACAGTTGAATATGTAAAGATGCTGTAATATCAGCAGACGACCTGCTTTGAGATCACTTTTTATACCTGACAAAGATGAGTGCGGCGACACAGAGCACCAACACCACAGACGACAGAATGACTGAAATCCTGATTCCTTTGAGAAAAACAGGAGATAGAAGGATACAATAATGTGAACAACTATCAAATGACAAAAAAAATTGATCATAAAAACTGGCTTTAAAAACACAAATGTTAACACACCTAAATTTCTCTGATTAGATCCTGACTTCTTATCCAAACCTGGAAAAAGAAACACAAACAGAATCACAAAGTAATCATTAATTTAGCAATCGGTGATGTTGAAACAATTTCTCACCATCATCATCAGGAATCGTCTCCATCACCTCTCTGTGAGGAGCAGAGAGCACTCGTGCTGCACATCCCACCTGTGTGCTGTGTTTACGTGAACCTGAGAGCACAGCTGTAGTGGTGACAGTGAATGTAGCGTTGGTGTTGGACACACTGACAGTGTTGTACTGTGAGAAGCTGAGGTCTTGTTGTGAGACACTCAGTGTTACAGTGGGAGCAGGTCGACCAGTGGCTGAACAGGAAACAACCCACTCTTCAGTAGAGTTTGACTCTCTGACATCAACAACAGGTTCATGCAGCTCTGTGAAGGATCAGGAAATATGTTATAAGGACCATGTTGTCAAGAATAAACCAGCTTCTGGTGCATTTAATCACATTAAGGTAAAAGTTCTTACCATAGACTTGGAGGCAGGTTTTACCAGTGAAGGAGCCTTCAGGATAAGTGTTAAACAGACATGGATAGCAGCCTTCATCCTGCTCCATCACATTCCTGATGACTATGGAGCAGTTTTGTAGTTCAGTATGTTTAAACTTAAATTTCTCTGTAAAGCCATCATTCACTCTCTGACCATAGTACTTGCTGTAGGTGGCAACATTTGTCTCCACATCATGTGAGATTTTCTGCCATGTGACCTGAAGGACGTCTTTAGTGTCCAAGAGCTGACAGCTGAATTCAGCATCTTCTCCCACTGCAGCCAGCACAGTCTGCTGTGTTTGGACCACTGCTGTTAGAGCTGTAGGAGATAGATCAAGCTGTGAGGCACTTTAAATATAATGTTCAAGTCCAACTTGCTGACACATGAGGTCCAGTGTTACTGGCTATCCCAGTTCCTGCAACACACAGTTGTACCTTCAGCCTCACACTGACACTCTGCCTAAACAAATCTGGTAACTGTGTTATTGCAACAGGAATCAAAGTTGCTTCCAGCTGTTTCAGGTTTTTTAGTACATGTTTTTTTTAGTTCTACTGCAACACCCCGAACACAACCATAGAGGTGCACACACACATGTGCAGATCACTATCCACCCTTTCTAGCCACAAGGCAAGATTTTAAGGTTACATAATATATTAGATGTAAGATTCATCCCAGTGTCTCCATAGACAGACTTATAATTATGCCAAGGAATGTAAAAAAAACAAAAACAAAAAACAGGCTGTTTTGAGCTTCATTGTTAGCGCCCAAGGTCAAATTTGACTTATCATTTTGGCTAATATATCACATGAAAGTTAAAGTACATACAATAGTATGTAATGCTTAGAGGTCATACATCACAGGTCAAGGTCAAACTTTTTTTTTCAGTTTGCAGTTTAGGAAAATCTCCAAATTTTAAAGCTAAACCAATAAATGACTCACTGGGGGACATATGCACTTTCTCTGTTTGAGTTCTTTAAAAACATTTGTTAAAACAACATTATAAAATGACTATTATAAAAACTCCATTCAGCATTAACAATTCTCACATTACCATGTTTGATAAATAATACATTGTGTGGATTATGGCATGAACCTGTGCAAACATTTTCAGACAAACGTCACTCAGGGCATCATTAGCCATCAAGCCGGATACATTTCCTTAGATCGTAAGCTGACATAATATTACAACTGCCACGTTGTCCCTTTTGCCCTTCTTGTTCTTCTACTTTTTCTTCTTCTTTGCCGGTCGACACCAACAACAAGCTGCAGGACCTTATTACTTTTTCAAACTATGACATTCACATATTGAAAATTGATTCAGAGTGAGATTAATTCACTCCCCCCCCCCCCCCCCCCCACACACACACACACACACACACGCACGCACACACACACACACACACACACACACACACACACACACACACACACACACACACAAAAGAAAAAAACATACTGGGAATGCTGAAGTGTTGCTATGATTTTCCTAAAGAACAAGCTCCAACAGCCCCGTGACCGTCACTAACCCCTCCTAAATATTCAGAGAAACCACAGAAAATAAACTTTAACACTGTCGGTGGTTAAGATAAGATAAGATAAGATAACTCTTTATTGTCATTGCACAGTCATACATAGTACAGTAGTACAATGAAATTGGAAAAAACTTGTCACAACTTGTTGTACTTGTCACAACATAATCTAAATTCTCAGGTCACCTTAGTGACCTCTACTGTATAAAAATAAAAATAAAAGTCTATTCTATAAAAGGGTCTAACTCACATACATACAGAAATACATTTTTTCTCACCTTTGTCAAAGGCTCCAGAAATGAAAACAGCAAGAAAATAATATAAAACTCCAAAGGAGGACATTGCATTGACTCGCCATTCATTTAAACTCCAGGTTCCTGCTTCTGCAGTTCCTCGAGTTTGATCCAATCAAATGCGTACAGCTCGCGTGGAGTCAAGTTACTCAACGTTTCACGTCACTTCCAGCTCTAAAAGTCGGAGCAGCTCCACCATCATCTCTCAGTTCGCTGTCCAAACGGAGATGTGAACGCACTCGAGGACAATAAATTACGCTTAAAGTGTTTCGTTCTGACAGAGTGGGCTTTCCACCCACCCCATTAATGCTCCTGTTCAGTCTTTCAACAGACTACCTGCATGTCTCTGGACAGGGATAGCGTTGGTCGAGTGCTGATTGATTGACAAGTGGACAGGAATAGAGTGAAAGCGGAGTTTACCAGGAGCGGCAGAAGCACAGAAAGCTTACATAATAACACGAGAGGATTAAAAGCACAGACAGCGGCTGCACTGAACACGTTTCAATGTTCGTAACTTTCGATTTCTCTTCAGATCTTTTTCCAGGTCAAGAGCAGCACAATCCTACAGACTGTTTGTACACACGTGAAACTCCAATCAGCATTCAAACATTTTAATTGTTTGTTGTTTTTACGATTTTTCCCCCTAAATATCTGCAGTTACAAGTCGTTCAGCTGTTCAACTGTCTGATTTTTACACGCGACTTTTGCTACTCTTCTCCTACATCTGATCTGTGCAGAGATTCATTTGTAATCTAAAGCTCGTTAACCCCGAGCTTCTCATGCTCAGCGTACATGTATACCAGCAGGTGGCGTAGGCTACTCAGTCTTCATCACATTAGTTGGCTGGTAGTGATGGTTGCGCGATGCAGGGCAGGTTCAGTCACAGATCACAGTACATCTACCATATGCTTGTTGTAGCGACGTGTTTATGTTTTTCAGTAGTTGTCATAGGTAGCTGGTTTTGGCACTTTGTATAAAATAAAATGTTAACTGAACAGTTGTGACTGCTCAGCCTATGGTTCAACAGCAAACTCTTACATCAGTTGGCAGAGAGGAAACAAAAAAGTCTCACTGTATAGGAGTCAGTGGGTTATCACATACAATAGCTGCAACAGCATGAAAGGCAATAATAATAATAATAATATAAACATGTGCAGCCTGGAACTACAGCAAGACGTTACCTTCTTGTAGTTCCTTCTAGCTACGTTGGTACCTGACTTTAACACATATTCAGAGTGTCGAGGCAGACTAGAAAAATATGGTTGATGGAAGAATGGTCAGTTTACTCGCTTTATTGTATCACACTGGAGCATTTATGAAATGTTAATAAGCAGAATAACCATCTACAGATACTTCTGTCTCCTAAGCCTGGTCACCATAAATAAGGAGGCACGTCTCTCTGCAGCAGTCTGTTCTGAACGTAACCACAGTCATTTGTTTTACATTTTGTCATGTTACTGTCTCATTCAGTTCATTTTCACCTTGAAACTCTGCACACAATACGCCAGAGTGACAAAGTGAAAATGTTTGCTTGTAATTCATGCAAATTTATTAAAAAGAAAACCAAAACTATAACACACACACAACTATTCACAGATGTTACCATGACACTGGAAGTTGAGCTCAGGTGTATCCTGTTGCCAATGATCATCTGGCAGATGTTTCTATATGTGTGATGAATTCAGTTGAATTGGACAGGATTTTAAAAGGCGCACACTGGTCTCTATCAGGCCACATAGGTGACAGAGCACAAACCAAGCCATGAAGTCCAAGGAATTGGTTGTATATCTCTGAGACGGGATTGTAGGAAAGTGTGCAGAAAAATGTGTGCAGTATTGAAGGTCCCAAGAAGCACATGGAAACACACCTGGACTTTACCAAAAGGCAAGGACTCTCAGAACATGAGAGACAAACTTTTCTGGTCTGATGAAACAAACATGGAACTCTTTGGCCTGAATGCCAAGCATCATGTCTGGAGGAAACCAATACCATCCCTATAATGAATGCAATTCCTAATGAACGAAGCCTTAGCTTGATGCTCTCAACTTCTTCTTCTTTTTTTTTGTATCCAATAATAAACATATAATGTGAAAAGATCCCCAATAAATTACCTTATATGTGGTGACATCCAAAAGTGGGGATCTATTAATGTGTTTTCAAAAACATTTGCTGTGTAAATTTTTTAAATAAATCAAGGTTCACACAACTAGGTTGTCTTTGTGAGTTTGATTTACCTTTGCAAAGAGGTCAAACAGCAGTGCAGTGAATAAACTGTTGCATTAGATTTCATTTCAGCAACACAAGCAGCTTGTTTGTTCATTTTCACAATTCTCACTTAAAATCACTTGATGTCAAAATATTTGACAAACAAGACAAAATTTTACCTTTTATGAACAACAGTTTTTCCTAATAATAAAGAAATATACAAACATACAAATATACAAAGTTTTAAAATTAAAAGTGCATTTCCCCCCCAAAAAGCAGAGTGCAGTAACAAAGACCGACTAAATAAATGACTGAAATCCTGATTCCTTCTAGACAAACAGTGGAAAGAAGGATATAATAATCTGAACAGCTATTAAATGACAAAACACTGAACATAAAAACTGGCTTTAATAACACAGATGTTAAAAGACCTAAATTTCTGTGATTAGATCCTGATTTATTATCCAAACCTGGAAAAAGAAAAACAAACGTTAGAATCACAGAGTAATCATTAATTTATGAATCAGTTACTTTAAAAGAGTTTCTAAACAGTCACTTCTCTCTGATAGTGACAATTTGCATTCATCAATAACCAAGAAACTGACCTCACAGCATGAGTGGTGCTGGTTTCAGTCATTATGGAAATGTATTGTTTATAAGTTTGGGGAAACCTGGAGTCAGCTGAGACTGAAGAATTCACTTGGCTGAGTAACAAAACATTTCTCCCACTGAAAACGTTACATCCAGATCAACAGAATCAACTTTTTTGGGACCGAGAAAGAGTTAGAGGAAAGAAAGTTTTGGCACTGTGTCACGGACCGGCTCTGGAGGACTCAGGGGGCCGTGAGCAGTTATTATTATTATTATTATTATTATTATTATTATTATTATTATTATTATTATTATTATTATTATTATTATTATTATTATTATTATTATTATTATTATTACTACTATTTGGGGTCTGTGTCGTCTTCTGTTCTGTCCACGTTTGTATGTAGAGTGCGTGTGTCTGCTTCTCTCTCTCCCCCCCCGTCCTCGGGGCTGTTGACGGAAGCGCGCGTCGTGGGAGAGGCGTGTCCGGGCGACTGTCGTCATCGGGAGTCCCTCTTCGCTGTTGCCGTGGCCCACCTGCAGCTGATTACCTGACCAGCTGGTGGTAATCATCCCTCCCGGCTAGAAAGAGGTATTTAACCTGGACCCACGGCGACAGTCGACGTGGGATTATTACTCCTGACTGGTATAGTCTGTGCGCGACGTGTGCTCTTGGTAGTCGGCTAGCGTGTGTGGCTAATTGTGGTTTGTCCTTCTTCCTCCAGGAAAGTCGAGCGAAGAAGCGAGTTGGGGAGCACACACACTAAGGGGGCTACAGCACGGGACGCACTGGGAGTAAGGGATGAGCACCATTGGCTAATTACATCTGAGTTAACTGTTGGACTGACCCGTCTATTCACTGTAAATAAAGTGCACTGTGGCATCGCAGAGTCTTGCGTTTTGGGTCCTACTTTCCTCATCGCCACGGTCTGCCAGCCAGACCGTGACACACTGTGCTCAAAGCTTTGACTCTGAATTTTCTGCTCCTCAGTAATTCTGCAGTTTTTATGAAACAGAGCAGAACTGAAGATGAAGCCTCAGGGTCAAGGAGGAGAGCCACAATAAAAGACACACACAGACAATCAACTGAGTTTTTACAGTGACTTCTTTCAGATATGTATACACATTTTGTAATCGGTCCATGATGAACAAAAACTGGAGTCAAACACACACAAACCTCTGCAACATTACAAATCAATTTCATGTAGTTTTTCCTTCTCTCAGACCTGCACTACAGCCTACAGCACATCTGTCACGATGCTGCAATTAGTGTCACTCATATTAGAAGTGAGTTAGATTCATGTCTGAAACTTTTGGTACAGAATATTGACTTTAATAAATGTCTGCAATGTTACAGGTCATGCAGGAAGTAAAAAAGACCTGACTGTGAATAATGTTTTGTGCTCTTCTGCACATTGGACAGTCAGGTGTTACAAAGTTACAAAGACTTCATGTTAATGGTGCAGGAGTTTCTAACAAAGCAGCCCTCCTCTGGATGAATCCTGAGCTGTCACATACACACACACACACACACACTGTTACGTCCCGTGGCCTCGTTTCCAGATTTCTGTATTTCAAGTGGAAGGTTTTCTTTCTCAGTGTTCAGCTGTTATAGTTTCACAGATTTTTAAATATTTTGCAGGTTGATCATGAAGATCCTAAAACGTTTGTTTCAGCTGTGAGATACTGATGCTGAACTAAACAGACCGTGAGCCCAGAATTACTAACACACTAAATAACACACAGACATTAAATTAGCCTCTACTTACTTCACTTAGTTGAGGCTTCATGTCTGATTTGCTGTAATGTATTTAAAGCATAAAGTAAAGGGGACAAAGCTGAATGGCATGTAAGGTTATGGTGTAAGGATAAAAGCAGTTTCCAGTTACGACGTAAGTTAGGAGGAATAAGCAGAATAAGCCAATATTTATGTAATGCAACTTTGGGTTCTGGTGTTTAGGTAAATCGATAAATAGATAAACAAATAAATAGCACAAATCACTAAGAGTAAAATTGCAATGTACCATTATATTAATTAATATATCTAGCTAGCTATCTTTGTTTCTTATTTTGACTGTCCTGTCTGGCAGCCGTTGCAAGCAGAGTGTGGTCTGTGGCTCCGCTGCAAAGGAGGGGCTGTGCCAGGGAGGCTGGCAGGGCTGCTGGAAGCAATTCAGTAACTATGCTCTCCATATTTCAGAGACTCCAGGACCTGGAAAAAATGAGGACAGGTGGAGATAGACTCAGAATTGAGTCTAGCTGGCTCTCATAAAGATGAAAGTCCTGGATCATCATGGTTGGTGTCTCCTAGGAGTCCATTATCTGAGGTGATTATCATCGTGTTTCAGTGGAGGTGTTTCAGTCCCATAAAAAATAATAAAAAACACTGCAGCCGTTGTCTGTTAATAGTGCAAAATCAAAGCATTCTGAGCAGATTAGCTTAGACAGAACAAAGACAAATGCAGCAGAGTCTACTGAGGTGTAGTACACATCAGATTGGAGGGGGGGGGGGGAGCTCTAGAAGCAAGTTGGAAGATTTGAAATGTGACAACATAACAGAGTGAAAAAGAATGACAAAAATTTCCACGCACAAAATGACAGGATGATAAATAACCAATAAACCTGAGTGTGTCTGGCTTAAGGTTTCAGGTGTTTCGTTCATCTTGAACTGTGTGTGCGACAGACTGAAAGATTTATGAAGCTGCACAAACATTTATGAGGGGAATCAAAAGGAGAAAGTGTTTAAGAGGATTTCCTGCTATGAGATTTCTTTTTCATATAAGCCACAAAGAGGAGTGCAGCGACACAGAGCACCAACACCACAGACGACAGAATGACTGAAATCCTGATTCCTTTGAGAAAAACAGGAGATAGAAGGATACAATAATGTGAACAACTATCAAATGATGAAAAACATTGAACATAAAAACTGGCTTTAAAAACACAAATGTTAACACACCTAAATTTCTCTGATTAGATCCTGACTTCTTATCCAAACCTGGAAAAAGAAACAAACATTAGAATCACAGAGTAATCATTAATTTATGAATCAGTGATGTTGAAACAATTTCTCACCATCATCATCATCATCATCAGGAATCGTCTCCATCACCTCTCTGTGAGGAGCAGAGAGCACTCGTGCTGCACATCCCACCTGTGTGCTGTGTTTACGTGAACCTGAGAGCACAGCTGTAGTGGTGACAGTGAATGTAGCGTTGGTGTTGGACACACTGACAGTGTTGTGCTGTGAGAAGCTGAGGTCTTGTTGTGAGACACTGAGTGTTACAGTGGGAGCAGGTCGACCAGTGGCTGAACAGGAAACAACCCACTCTTCAGTAGAGTTTGACTCTCTGACATCAACAGCAGGTTCATGCAGCTCTGTGAAGGATCAGGACATATCATCAACATGTTCTTACAAACACACCAGCTGCTCACACATTTATGTCCAGTATGTTTGTTACAAGCACTTGTTGTTTGTTAAAGAAGATTAAAGTTCTTACCATAGACCTCGAGGCAAGTTTGACCAGGGAAGGAGCCTTCAGGATAAGTGTTAAACAGACAGTGATAGCATCCTTCATCCTGCTCCGTCACATTCCTGATGACTATGGAGCAGTTCTGCAGTCCAGTGTATACAAACTCAACTTTATCTTTAAAGCCATCATTCACTCTCTGACCATAGTACTTGCTGTAGGTGGCAACATTTGTCTCCACATCATGTGATATTTTCTGCCATGTGACCTGAAGGACGTCTTTAGTCTCTAAGAGCTGACAGCTGAATTCAGCATCTTCTCCCACTGCTGCCAGCACAGTCTGCTGTGTTTGGATTACTGCTGTTAGAGCTGCATGGAGATACAGTTTGAGATGTGAGGCACATTCAGTTTTTGTTCAGGTGAACTGTAACACACAAAGTTGCAGTTTCACTGCTAAAACTTTTTTTGTTATTTTTCTCACTGTTCATAACATGTTTTACAGTCTTTTTATTTTATTTTTTTTTGAGTTTCCTTCCTGAATAGAACTGCCCCAATAGTATACAGTAACTGCTGCAGGGGATTTTCTAACACTACAAGGAGGATTTTAGTATTGACCGACATTTCAAAAAGAGCATTGCAAATTAAGAGTAAAGAAATGAGCAGACCTGACGAAACATTAAATATGAATATTTAAAAGCAAATAACAGAGTGTAAGTGTTTTTCTGTAAACAGCGTGGCAATTCGGCTAAATGAGAGGAGGCCGAAGGGCAATTATTCTGTTTTTGATATAAGATTGAACCAGTCAGGGGACTGTGAGGTCCTGAGACTCAGGGAGTATCCAGAGAAATCTGAGGTATTACAAACTGCTCCACTATGAACCTCTAAATCTCTGTGTAACAGCTGAGTTATACAGTGGACAGAAGAACATTTATGATCAGAGCCCCAACAGTCCCTGTGTTAATGAAGATACTGTAACTGTCCCTTTTGCTGTGGTTTGCAGGCAGTGAGCAGAAAAAGTACTTACCAAAAGTCATTTAGTGTGAGACATTTTTCATTATGTGCCTCTGTGCAGAAATGTGACTCAAATCCTGAAACCCTGCAAACTTGTCTGCTCACTCTCAGTACAGAATATCGACTTTAGTAAAGGACAACAGTGTGCACAGTTATTACGTAAGCTCATATTTATTCTAATGGTTCAGGGTTTGACTGTAAATAATGCTCTGTGTTCTTCTTCACATTGTACACGTGAGCTGTTAAAAAGACTTGATGTTCGTGGTGGAAGAGTTTGCAATGAAGCAGTCCTCTGGATGAAACTTGAGCTGTGCAAGGACACGCAGGAACATTTATCCACACGCAGCTTTTTTTAACACGAGCCTCTCTGATATTAAACACACTGATTTTCCTTCAGCTGCCTCTCGTTGCGCTGAGTCATCGTGCTGTTTCTGGAGAGAAACACGTGCGTGAAAGCGGCTCCATTACTGCACACTCATTACTGTTCTCCTGTCAGGATTGTTTTTGATCCGCTAATTTGCCAATTTTTCCCAATTTGTAAATTTGTAAAAATCAGATAACCTCACCCCTCATTGTTAGTTACTGCATTGCACAGTTTACACAAACTCAAGTTCTCATTTATCATAACTTGAGTAATATCTGTCACTTTGACGCCTACGTGCTGAACATGGGAAAGTCCAAATACTTCAAATGATTACAAAGTTAGTAAAACTGAGTGGTAAACTATCGAACACACACACAGATATATATATATATATATATATATATATATATATATATAGAGAGAGAGAGAGAGAGATTGTATAGAGTTGTATTAACACAGACTTTGTTCCCACCTTTGTCAGAGACTCCAAGAATAAAAATAGCAATCACATAAAATGAGACTCCAAAAAGCGACATCGTGGCTCCACACTTACCGCTAAAACTTCAAACTGAACGGAAATGTGAATGTTCCGGGGAAACACCTCCGACACTGAGTCACAGTATATGTATCTACTGTGTATATATATATAGAGAGAGAAACAAAGAGATATTTATTTATATTAGCAAGTGCGTTTAAAGTGGTTAAAAAACTGTCTGTCCATAAAGAAAACAGTTTAAAAGCTTTTATAATTCATGTGTTCTAAGATGTTTTTGTGTATACTTGCTGCTAAATTGCAGGTTGTTCATGTGAAACTAAACTGTTGGCTAATTTCAGGTTGATCAAAACGAGCAGCTTAACGAGTGCACATGAGAACAAAATTATTAATATCATTATTATTTTTATGAAATGATTTTCTTTCTCTGAGCAAAATATAAAAATGCAAACATCCAAAATTCAAACTGGGACGTTTGGAGAAGCTGCGTTTAAAATACTTTGCTCTGCTAAACAACACCTTGAAAATAGTTTTTTAAAGGAGAACTATTCATATGGGCCTAATAACCCCTCATCTGTCTCTGAAGGTAAGTCTTTATCTTTAAAAAGAAAAAAATAATACTTACCTTGTACACAGAACTACTGTGTTTTTGCTACTAAATCATTCGTGAAGGAGGGTTTTTGTGTGAATTATCTTGTAGCAAGTGTCACCTGGCAGTTTGCTGCCTTCCGTCGTGTCTGCAGAGGAGCTTTGAAAAGTTAGGGTGAGTGACGTGAGGTCAGCGCTCTTCTGTGGGAAGTTCCACAGACGATTAACTCAGAGACTTTGGCTGTTTGATTTTGATTATTCAGTATTGTAGGTGCTCATTTTTAATGCGTGTTTTTCGACTTTCTAGTGTGACCAAGGGTTTTAATGGTTGAATCAATCAAGTTCTAGATCGGCTGTGAGCGGGGAAATCAATCAATATAGTACGTATATTGATTGTTTTTAGTGAGCATTGTAGTGCTATTTGCTTGGACCTTTGGTTTGATAGGTCTCATGTGCGGCTGGGATATTAGTAGAATTTGTTGTAAATCCTGTCTGGGAATGAAGGGGAAATGTATGCTTAACTGATGGAATAATAAATGAAACATTTATTTCTTTGGATATTCTATTCGACACTTCAGTGCTCGGTTAAAATCTTTTTATTAAAGTTTTCGTTCTGAATTCAAAGTCCGTCCAGCTCCGAGTTAATTGGTAGTATAGTCGTTGCCTCATGTGAACCACTTCCATGATAGACTCACTAGATGGCACAATAGCCCCAGTGACTACATTTTTTTTTTCTTTTTCATTTTTTTGTAAAGAACTTTAATTAACTGTGCATCTGGACGTAGCGTTTTTACAAGGAGAAACGATTAGTCACTCATTCAAGTGACTTCTTCTTCAGATGGTTATTTATAAATGGCCTTCTTGACTCCGTGCTTAAACCAGCGTTCCTTCCTGTCCAGGATGTTACATCCTCATCATTGAAAGAGTGTCCACTGGCCTGTAGGTGTAAATAGACTGCAGAGTCTGGGCCTGATAGCTCAACTGTGTTGTGCCATCCGCTTCACCAGAGGTTGTTTGGTTTCCCCGATGTATAAATCCTGGCAATCCTGCTGGCACTTAACAGCGTACACTATGTTACTGTTAGTGTTGGGGGACCCAATCCTTGGGTGGACCAGTTTTTGTGTGTTGATGTCGCTGCCAAATAAAATATAAAATGACTAAAACACTATACAACAATACCTGACAAGAAACACTGGCATGGTCTTACATGATAAACATTACTGGACTGAGAACTGAAAACTTTATAAATGTAAATATCGATATACGTATTTCTATTTTGTGTGTCTATTGTACACATTTTGAAAAGCCTCTATAAATTCATCATGAATAAACAAAGACCTCATGTGGCCTTTTTGTGTAACTTCACTCAAAATCTGTTGACGGCTAAGTGTTTAAAATATGGGACTTTAATTATGTTTATTTGTTTTTGAAGAGTGTTCAGCAACAAAAGCCGTTTGACCAGTCATCCAAAATTATTGAAAAAATAATTTTAATGTTCAAAAAAGTAATAAAAAATAAAACAAAGAATTTACATAAAAAAACAATGCACAATACAATATTATTAATCTGGTTTTTCTGTCTCAAATCTTAACACCACACTGTAAGGAAAGTCGAGAAAACTCAACACAAGTAAACTGTAAACTCTTGCTTCAATCACATTCAGTTCAGGTTTTGAAAAACACACATTCCTGCTGAGTAAACAAATGTGTGAGCTGCTAATAAGAGATCTTCTGCTGTTCAGTCAGGTGCACTAACCACTACACTGCAAATCCACACAAAACGTATGTTTATCCAGAAAAAACCGTGTATCTGCAAAACCTGCAGCCCAAAAAAAGTCAACGCTGTCAAAAAGCATGTGTTTGTGCTGGTGACGGTGAAAGGGTTGGATCATGGTTTAGTTGGCTTCTCTCAGGTCTCCACTTTTTAAACCAGTTTTACTCAGTGACTCAGTGAGGCAGTGGGCAGCCATTGGGTGCCCGGGGGACAGTGGGGACGGTACGGTTCTCATGGTTCCTCATTTTTCCGAAGTTGTCATTTAGGAACGTGTTGGGTGCCCGAAAACGTGACATGTTGATGATTTGTCACCCAGCGTTAAATGTTACGCTTTGGGAGTGAGAACGTGTTGCAGCAGTACCTCAGGGTAGCCATCTATTGGATTCAAACCCCTGCCCTGCGATCATGGGGCCATCACTCTACCTACTGAGCTATCCCCCCCCTCCTTTTTTTTTTTGAACAGTGAAATTTGTTTTATGCCCAAATTATTCTGCAGATCATCAGGATGAAAAGTTATTGGCTGTGTTTGCACAGCCCTTTTTAAAAAAAAAATGCTTTCATGACATTATTGTGTGTCAGGTGGTGTCAGGGATATCCAGACTGACAAGTAGGACATTGAATGTTACCTCTCCGGTGGGAAGGGAGCCTGCAAATTGTGGTCTGTTCTATAGTAAATGCAGATAAAAAAAAATCAAGAAAACAAATAAGATGGGGTTCTACAGAATATGATTGTTTTCTTGCAGGACACCAGGAGAGATGAGTTCTCTATGACAGATGGTGTGGTCAGTGAAGATGGCCGCCTGCAGGTTCAAGGTCATTGAATCTCCAGCCCAAATCCACTGCCACTGTACTTAAGGGAAGAGAAGTTAAAGACTTTCTCCTGCACTTACATTTGGATCACCTAAATCCATGACAGTCATTCAGGAAGTAATGTCTGGACTGGAAACAAGCCATCCTTAAAGTATTACAACATACCAAGCTTCTGTGTTTGAATGCAAAACAAATGTATTGTTTGATCTAGAGACTGCACTTATGACTGAACAATATATAATGAAAATAAAATGCATGTAACTTGTAAAACAAAATTGTAGGAAGTCTAAACTTAGTTTCAGAATCATGAAATCGGAGACTTTGTTATTAACCTCACAGTGAAACAGTGTTGGCAGTATAATTATTTGTTGTTCAGAAGAACAGTGTCCAGTATGTTGGCTGATTTACTTTTTTGCATTTGGAAGTAAAAGTTGGGCTGATTTTGACGCCATTACAAGAAATGTTGTTAACTATTCTTTTTGAATCATACTTGCATTCAGTGTTGTATTAATATAAGTGTTGTACTAGAAATTGTGATAAAACAATGTCAAGTTCCCACAAATTGCTCAATTTCCCACAAATTGATTTTTAATTTAGAACTTAAAACGTTATTCTTAGTACTATATACTTGAAATTAATAAGTTGTCATAACATATTATCTTAAGTAAGCTTTACTCAGTTTTTTGAGGCGAAGAGTTTGAATAATTTTTTTGAAGTTCTGGGAAATAGATTGTTACGGAGCCCCGGAAAGGACACTGGAGAAAAAAGTCATTAAGAAGAACTTTTACAAGATTTTGCAAAACCTTTGCGAGATCCCGAGTTACTTTTGCAAGATCTCGCAAAAGTTCTTCTTAATTTTTTTTCTCCAATGTCCCTTGCGGGGCTCTATAGCAAACTGCTCCATTGTACAAACCTGAAATCTGTGTGTAACTGCTGAGCCGTACGATGGGCAGAAGAACATTTATGATCAGAGCTCTTTTTTCTAATACAGCTCATACAGCAGGAGTGTATGGGCTGCTTTTGAACTGACACTCAAACAAGATTTACAAGTAAACCAGGATTAAAAATGATCAATGATGACACATATGATCTAAACATGTAAACACAGTTATGACCACCATCATGCACCTGACCAAAGACATGACTTTCTTACAGTCTCATTAACTAAAAAGAAACTGCGTTACAACTGTGACTGCTATATTGCGAACTCTGCGCGCTGAACACTTGACCGCTGATGCAAAGCTCATTTTGGTGCGCTTACTGTGTTTACATCTTCAGGGGTATTCAGAGCAGGGAAAGTTTCACACACTCGACTGACAGCTTTAGGTCCATGTCACCATTGTTCATTCTGTTTACATTTCTTTCTCATTTTGAATAACTCAACACTTTATATTTGGAATGAGAGAAGGGGAGGAAAAGAAAACAGGAAATTAAGGAGCAGGACTTCCAATACTAAACCTTTAATAAAGACACTTTATTAACCAACATTACTTTAAAAAAAAACCAAAACCCAAAACAAACCAAGGTTCGCTGCCACGATGCTGGCCTAGTTAAAATAGCAGCTCAATAAAATAGTTAATGGTGGAGACTGGCCACCAGGGGAGGCAACCTACAGAGAGGAATGCCCAAGGGGTGCCACTAATTACTCACCCCTGCAGTCTCTCTGCAATCCTTACTACCACTCTTACTGCAACTTAAAATGTTGCACTATATTTGCTTTTCAGTGTGTACACTCACATGCATGAGAGGGAATTCCACCACAGGTGGAAGCAGTTGTGTCTCCACTAAAGCAAATAAAATTAAATCTATAAATCAAGCAATACAAAACACGAAACACCTCAATAAATAATAGAGAAAGAAACAGTAACACACACACACAGAGACACACGTACACACATGCACTTTAAAATACAACTTCAATTAAAAGCAACATCTGGCACATCCAAGCTGAACACCAACTGAGTGCAGTGCAGCAGAGGTACATGCAAATGGTACACCAGCACCATTAAAACGTAATAAAAAGTTAACACTAAAACACCATAAAACAAAGAATAACCAATCAATGCCAGTCAACATGACAGCAACAAAGCAACACGAGACTACAACAAGACAAGAAGATGCGACATCGTGGCTCCACACGCTAAAACTTTAAACTGAAAGGAAATGCACGGCTGAGAAAGTACTGGGTTATTGTTCCGGCGAAACACCTCAGATCATTGAGTCACAGGATATCTATATATAGATATTTATTTATTTTAGCAAGTGCATTTAAAGTGGTTAAAAGAAACTGTCTGTTCATAAAGAAAATAGAGTTTAAAAGCTTTTATATTTGTTCTAAAATGTTATTATGTATTTGCAGCTAAAGTGCAAGTTGTTCATGTGACCCTAAACTGTTGGCTAGTTTCAGCTTCAGAGTCACTGATGCGGATCAAAACGAACTGCGGCTAAACTGAACCTGCTTTAAGAAAAGAAATTACTGGGCATGAGCTATGTTCATGTCAACATCTGAAACACAGGCAAAATCCATTAAACAAATCAGCTGACCAACAATAAATCTATGGAAATTGAGACATTAATATATTAAAGATAAATCAGTAAAAAAACAATCATGAAACAGGTTTATAAGGCAAACATTCAGCATTCAGTCAAAACTCCAACACTTAGATGTCACGGACCCTCAGGGGTCCGTGAGCAGCTATTATTATTATTATTATTATTATTATTATTATTATTATTATTATTATTATTATTATTATTATTATTATTATTACTATTTGGGGTCTGTGTCGTCTTCTGTTCTGTCCACGTTTGTATGTAGAGTGCGTGTGTCTGCTTCTCTCTCTCTCCCCCCGTCCTCGGGGCTGTTGACGGAAGCGCGCGTCGTGGGAGAGGCGTGTCCGGGCGACTGTCGTCATCGGGAGTCCCTCTTCGCTGTTGCCGTGGCCCACCTGCAGCTGATTACCTGACCAGCTGGTGGTAATCATCCCTCCCGGCTAGGAAGAGGTATTTAACCTGGACCCACGGCGACAGTCGACGTGGGATTATTACTCCTGACCGGTATAGTCTGTGCGCGACGTGCGCTCTTGGTAGTCGGCTAGCGTGTGTGGCTAATTGTGGTTTTTCCTTCTTCCTCCAGGAAAGTCGAGCGAAGAAGCTAGTTGGGGAGCACACACACTAAGGGGGCTACAGCACGGGACGCACTGGGAGCAAGTGATGAGCACCATTGGCAAATTGCATCTCTGAGTTAATTGTTGGACTGACCCGTCTATTCACTGTAAATAAAGTGCACTGTGGCATCGCAGAGTCCTGCGTTTTGGGTCCTACTTTCCTCATCCCCATGGTCTGCCAGCCAGACCGTGACATTAGATCTCTGATTAGAAATTATCTGCTTAGCTCAAGCTGAGTGAAATTCTGACTAACGGGAAGTGAACATGAGGATTAGTTTGAAAATGTGCACACATTAAAAATATAAAACGACTTTCTTATCCTGTGTTTTTGATTGATTAACCTTGTTTATGTAATTTTTATTCTTGATCAGTCAGGACCCGTCATACACAGAAAAGCAAAATTATTAATATCATTTTTATTTTTATGAAATGACTTTCTTTGTGTGAGAAAAATAAAATAATGCAAACATCCAAAGATCAAACTGTGTTTCAAATTCTTTGCTCTGTTAAACAGCACCTGGGAAATAGCTTTTAAAAAGTGAAATTTTCTCATTTGCTAATAATTCTGTCCTCCTCTGTCTCTAACGGTGAGTCTTTATCCTTTTTTTTTTTAATGATGACCTTCTACACAGAGCTACTCTGTAAGGCGTATGTCCTTGAGATCACTTCCCACACGTTACCGTGCTTCGTGAAAACGTGTGCTGTTGCGGTGACTGTAACTCTGCATGAGACTAAAATTTACTGCATGAAAGTTTACATGTTATCTTCAAGTGTATATTTTTTCTGCTCTGTGTGTCTTCACATCACTAATTAGACATTCTGTATTTTTACACTCAGTTGAAATATGAGTAACAACATGCAGGTCCACTTTTTATAAAGAAAAAAGCTACCTGCCAACTTAATTCACAGTCCATATGGACCTAACAGAAGTGTTTGTAATGCTCACGTTGGACAATGTGTAAAGGCCACTGATCATACAGATTTCCTTCCTTTTGTTTAACCCACAGAGACACCAAGAGGAGGAAGGGAGGAAACAGTTTCTGAGTGTGGACATAACATTAAACAGACAATTAAAAATTGAAAAATAAAATACAATCGTTAGTATGAAATATCTCTCATTTTTTGCCTCAATATAACTGCAAATAATTTGCAGGTTGATGATGAAAATCCTAAAACTATTCTTTCAGCTGTGAGCTACTGATGCTAAACAGGCTCAGGATTACTTACACACCAAATAACAGACAGGTAACCTAATTGGCATCTTTATAATTCACTTCGTCGAGGCTTCGTCTCTGATTTGCTGTATTATCAGACTAAAAGTACTTTTCTAGATAAACAAAAGTACTAAATAAAACCACTAAAACACTATACCAACAATACCTGACAAGAAACACCAGCATGGTCTTACATGACAATTATTACTGGGCTGAGAACTGAAAACTTCATGAATGTAAATATAAACATATGTATTTGTGTGTCATTTTTTCAAATTTTGAAAAGCCTCCATACCTTCATCATGAATAAACAGAGACCTCATGTGGTCTTTTTGTGTAATTTCACATGAAAATCTGTTGTCGTCTAAGTGAACACAATATGGGATTTTAATTGTGGTTATTCGTATTTGAAGAGTATTCGGCTGCAAAAACAGTTTAACCAGTCATTCAAAATTATTGTATAAAAACGTTTAATGTTTAAAAAAAGTTATAAAAAAATAGTACAAAGAATTTACATTAAAAAAGCAAATCACAACACATCAATATGATTCTGGGTTTGTGTTTCAAATCTTAACATCACACTGTAAAAGTGAAAAAGCAGAGAAATTTCAAAACAAGTCAACTTTAAACTCTCACTTCAATCACTTCAATCACTTTTGAAAAACACAAAAATTCTTCCTGAGTAAAAAAAACATGTGAGCTGCCAATCAGAGGCCTTCTTCTCTTCAATCAAGCGCATAACCCACTACACTACAGATGCACACAAAACTTGGTCTCTGTAAATTAAGTACATCCAGAAAGTAAACTGAAGATACATAGAAATTATTCACATGATACAGTCCTGATCAAGTGATCAGACCTCTGGTAACAAAACAGTTATACTGTTTTGTTGTTTTTTTATACCTTCACCCTAAAGAAATTTTGAGGTATCGGCAAAAGTTGTGTTCAAACAATCGAGGTATTAAAGGTTTTACAGAATTGCTACACCGCTAACATCTAGTGTTTGAAATCATTTGAGCACATTTTCAAAGATCAAGTGAATCATTAGTGTTGTACAAATTAATACTGGCACTAATTTGTTTTCAAAGACAAAGAGGGCGAGGACACTGATTACTGAAGGAAATGGAAGTGAAAACAGACACTTTAGTTACTGTAAATTCAGTTTTAACTGATTAAGACCAGTTAAAAAAAGAGTTCAGAACATGCTAGCTGTCCATTTAAACATGTGTGCCGTCCAGAAAAGCCGGACATCTAGCTGCAAACCCTGCTCCAAAAAACAAGTCAATGCTCTTAAAACGTAAGTCTTTGTGCAAGTGAAGGTGAAAGGCTTGGATCGTGGTTTGGTTGGTTTCTCTCAGGTCTCCGCTTTTTAAGCCTGTTTTCACTTTGGTTGACTGAAGGTGTTTCATGCCTTAACATACAACAAAAACAGTGAATCATGACTCTGTTAATACTGCAAAGCAAAGTATTCTGGACAGATTAACAGCTTAGACAGCACAACGGAATATGTATCAGAGATTGTTTGATGTGCAGTAAACATCAGATTACGAATAAATGAGAGAAAAAAGAAGCTCTAGAGGTAACTTAGAGGTCAAATGTCTCAGCATATCAGAGAGTGAAAAAGAATGAAGTAACTTTCCAAATGTGAGATGACCGGATGATAAAGATGGAATTACTTCTGATTGTGGTTTCAAGTGTTTTAATCGTCTCCCTCTGTGACAGACTGAAAGATTCAAGAACAGTTAAAGCTGCACAAACTTTGATCAGATGAATGAAAGAGAGAAAGTGCAACACAGATGATGTTTAAGACGAGTACCTGCTCTGAGTTTTCTTTCTGAGCTGGAGAAAGATGAGTGGAGCTAAAAAGCCACAGGCAACCAACAACACAGAGGCAACCATGACTGAAATCCTGAGAACTTTGAGACAAACGGGAAAGGAGAAAAAAAAATTAATCTGAACACCTAGAAAGTAACAATACACTGAATCTGTAAGAAGTACAAACATTAACATACCTAAATTTCTTTGATTAGATCCTGATGTCTCATTTAACCCTGGAAAAAGAAACACAAACATTAGATTAGAGTAATGATTCATTCATAAATAAATGACTTTGAAAGAGTTCTCACCATCATCATCATCATCATCAGGAATCGTCACCATCACCTCTCTGTGAGGAGCAGAGAGCACTCGTGCTGCACATCCCACCTGTGTGCTGTGTTTACGTGAACCTGAGAGCACAGCTGTAGTGGTGACAGTGAATGTAGCGTTGGTGTTGGACACACTGACAGTGTTGTACTGTGAGAAGCTGAGGTCTTGTTGTGAGACACTGAGTGTTACAGTGGGAGCAGGTCGACCAGTGGCTGAACAGGAAACAACCCACTCTTCAGTAGAGTTTGACTCTCTGACATCAACAGCAGGTTCATGCAGCTCTGTGAAGGATCAGGACATATCATCAACATGTAATTACAAACACACCAGCTGCAAACACATTTATGTCCAGTAAATGTTGACATAAATGCCTGAAGCATTTGTTGTTGGTTAAAGAAGATAAAGTTGTTACCAAAGACATGGAGGCAGGGTTTCCCTGTCAGGGAGCCTTCAGGATAAGTGTTAAACAGACAGTGATAGCAGCCTTCATCCTGCTCTGTCACATTCCTGATGACTATGGAGCAGTTCTGTAGTCCAGTGTATTTAAACTCAACTTTATCTGTAAAGCCATCATTCACTCTCTGACCATAGTACTTGCTGTACGTGGCAACATTTGTCTCCACATCATGTGAGATTTTCTGCCATGTGACCTGAAGGACGTCTTTAGTCTCCAAGAGCTGACAGCTGAATTCAGCATCTTCTCCCACTGCTGCCAGCACAGTCTGCTGTGTTTGGACCACTGCTGTTAGAGCTGTAGGAGATACAGTTTGAGAAGTCAAGAACTTTCAGAAAAGTAAACTGTCATTATCATGTCACTCTTATTAAGGCCTGTCATTGTCCTAAAGGAATTTTTCATACCTTTTTTTAAATTCAAATATCAAATTCACATTCGTTTTTTTATACCACTATTGTGTGCATAAATGTTTAACTATTGTGAAATGTCCATCTTTCTTAGAGGTCAAAGGTCCAAACTGTGATTTTTATTATTTATTTCAAGTATATCATAATACATTTGTGTGAGTTTATTAGCAATAAAAATATTTTTCAAAGGCAGTAACTTTTATGATGATAACAGAAATATAAAGCAATAAAAAGAAACAAAGAAAGTTCTGTGGGCGATGTCCATAATAACGTCTATGGACAAAGGTATCACATCGTAACGTGACGTGATAGCTTTGTACCTTAAAAGCTGCTGGTAGCTGCGTCTGCTTTTAAAATGACAAGCAGCAGAAGTATTTGAAGAATCTCAAACTGTAGGCTGAGCAAAATCAGGAACAGCGTTACTTCATTTAGACAACCTTCATCTTGCTGAACGTAACCTTTCTCTTTTCTTTTGTTTGATACAATAATGAGTGAAAAATAAATTAGGTTATTTACACTCTGCGCCGTTGAAGTCACGTCATGCAAAATCAACTTTTCCTGTAGCCCCTTTCAAATTTAAAACGCTGTAAAAGAAACACTTCGTTTCTTAACAAGGCGTTTATTTGAAATTTGACGAACTCGTGTAATATCACACTCAACGCTTACCCACTGAAAAGCGGTTCCACAATTCAAATTATACGAAAAAAAGAGTGTAACACGTCCGTGTGGTCTAGGGTGACCAACCGTCCCCACGCCTAATGATGTTTAAAAGATCCCAAAGCGCAAGTGCATCTTTTCAGACGAACTGCAAAAGAATTTCCCTCGTACCGACCCAGTACTGGTATTTTTTCTTATGTAGATGAGGCATTATTTCTGTACCATTATTTAATTCCAGAGGCTTTTAAGTTATTTTTTGCAATTGTTGACTTGTAAAAGCCTATATGACATATTTTATTCCATAATTCATTAACCGCACAGAGAAGGCATCGTTTAAATATGTTATAAATATGTTTCTAAGCAAGTTCTTCATGACTGAGCCAAGTGTCCTCTTTTTTTGGAAATAAAATAAGATCACCCTATGGTCACATACATAGACGTAGGTATTCTGGAATAAAAGTTTCTTCTTACCTTTGTCAAAGACTCCAAAAATAAAAACGGCAGTGACATAATGTGTAATTCTAAGCTGTGGCATTGTTGCTCCATGCTGTACCGCCAAAGCTGGACAGTATGGTTGCGAAAGAAACCGCTACTACTTCCGGGTAAATTGTTGTAATAATTTCTGTAATGTATGTAAAGAAGCAATAATGCCTGATGATAAAACACATATTTCATGATTATAAGGACATAGTAACAGAATTTTTCAGTAACTGATGGTTACTTATTACTTAAAAGTGCAATAACATACATCGCAGTTGCCTTTATGATCCCCGTATGATAATAGTACAGTCCAGAATCATATTATCTTTTACTACATTTCATGTGGTTTAAAAAAAAGCATTTCTGTCACTAAGAGAAAAGAAATGTTAGAATTTTCTCTAAAGTCATGTTTTCAGATGGGATATTAAGCTATAGGACATTTGTTGTGAGAGGTCTCTCTGTGGAAAGCTGTTATATTCTCATCTATTTACAACTAAATTGCAGGTTGTTTGTATAGATCCCAAACTCTTTCAGCTGCTGAACACAGATGTTCATCAAAACCAGCTGCACATTGTAGTGTAAAGTTACCAGATAAACTGAAACTCTTTGAAAAGAAATTAATATTGAATACATGATATTCTCATGTGAGTCAAGAATAATATTCAAATGAAACATACTATAAATATATATTTATTCTACTGTTTCACAAATCCTTTGTTTTGTTATCTTTCTACAGTTACACGCATAATTCCTTTTAAAATATGGCATTCCCCTTTAGAGAGAGGTGCCAAACATTCATAATGAATAAATATACATATATATTTAATGATTCCAAAATAAATCAGTAAATCACACACTTAAATAAATCAACACTGAGCAGCACGGTGGTTAGCACTGTTGCCGCACAGCAAGAAGGTCCTGAGTGCAATTCCACCATCAGGCCGGGGTCTTTGTTATCCCTGTGTTTGCGTGGGTTCCCTCCGGCTTCCTCCCACCGTTCAAAGACATGCAACTTGTGGGGATAGGTTAATTGGATAATCCAAATTGCCACTAGGTGTGAATGTGCAAATGGTTGTCTGTCTCCGTGTCTTGGCCCTACGACAGACTGGCAACCTGTCCAGGGTGTGCCCCGCCTCTTGACCTATGACAGCTGGGATAGGCTCCAGCCCTCCCACTACCCTGAAAAGGATAAGCAGAAGCGGATGGATGGATATATTTAATGATTACAAAAGAAATCAATAAATCACACACTTAAATAAATCAACACTGTCGCCCATTTTTTACAATTTAAAGTAACATGATGGGCCAAAACAAAACAAAAACAATTATATGCAGTATGTGTATTTTTTACATATTTGATTACTTCTCTAACCTAGAACACTAAAAAGAACAACAACATGAAAATATGCACAGTGAAAACAAACAGACATATTTTTCATATTTACAGTATGTTACATAATTACAGACACGGTACAGTTGTGTAAAAAATTCATTATGGTAAACAGAAAGTTAATTAAGCCCCAGTACGATGATTTCTTTTGGTGTAGTCCTTTGTTTTTCTTCAGGATTGAACTTCTTTGTTGTTACCGTTGTTGTGGAAGTTTTCCATTAAATAAAGCCTGCAGACAAGTGGTGAGCGGTAGCTAACATTCTTTAATCAAAACAAAGAACAGAAAACTAAGCTTGGTGGAGAGACGGTCAGCAGAGTCTCTCAGGCTACGTCCACACTAGCCTGGATAGATTTGAAAAAGGCGTTTTCATCACACTAGCGTTTTCAGTCGTTTCACAGAGTTGTGCGTCCACATTGAAACAGCCGAAAACGCTTATGTTCCAGCACTGCGCATGTCAAAATTGAGAGCCATCAAAACAACTGCTGTATAATGCACTCCACTATCTTTGTTTAATTGGTCACATGACTGCATCACATGACTAAAATGCATCTTTCGTGTTAGAAAGTCTGCGTTTTCAGGAGAGTTTTCAAGTCTCAGTGTGGACACGAGGCCAAAACGGAGAAATACGATGCATTTTCAAACCAAAACGCGTGGACTAAGCCTAAGAGACAAAAGACTCTTCCTGTGGAGTGGTCTGCTTCCCCCCAACATCCTTACCAGGCCCCCACCATCTGTCGAACTGCATGAATGTGAAACATGCTAAGGTCCAGTGGCACTAAGGCAATATAGGATTAATTAATGTGACTAATACATAAATAAAAGAAGTTCTTATACACCATCTTGTGGGATACTTTCTGTCATTCAAATCTTTGTTTCAGTTTTCATCAAAAATGAGTCTTCTTGCGGGTGCTGATGACAACACTTGGTTATGATTTTGTTGAGTTCGCTCAGGAGTCTCTTGTCTGACTTCCCTGCACTCTTGTGTATCAGTCCTTAAAATGAGAGCAAACAAAAAAGTTAAATTTTTTAAATATTACTGTATGATTGAGAATAAAGTTACAGCAAAGTGTGAGAACATTTAAAAGATTGAAAGTGAAATGTAACAACAGAGGCTGAAATTTCCAGTTGTACAGTCACAGGATGAAGAATCACTTACTCATCAGTGTCTCTGTTTGCAGTTTCAGGTGTTTCATTCAACTGAATCGCCATGTGTGAAAGACTGAAAAATGTAAGAAATTTATTAGATTTATTATTGCTAATACACTCACACAAATGCATTATGATATACTTGAAATAAATAATAAAAACCATAGTTTGGACCCTTGACCTCTAAGAAAAATGGACAGTTCACAATAGTTCTGAAAGTTCTTGACTTCGCAAACTGTATCTCCTGCAGCTCTAACAGCAGTGATCCAAACACAGCAGACTGTGCTGGCAGCAGTGGGAGAAGATGCTGAATTGAGCCGTCAGCTCTTGGACACTAAAGACGTCCTTCAGGTCACATGGCAGAAAATCTCACATGATGTGGAGACAACCATTGCCGCGTACAATAAGTACTTTCGCCAAAAAGTGTGTACTGACTTTACAAATAACGTTGAATTTAAATACACTGGACTACAGAACTGCTCCATAGTCATCAGGAATGTAACAGAGCAGGATGAAGGATGCTATTGTCTGTTTAACACTTATCCTGAAGGCTCCTTCATTAGTAAAACCTGCCTCCAAGTCTATGGTAAGTAGGGATGGGTATCGAAAACCGGTTCTTGTTGAGAACCGGTTCCCACTGTTTCAATTCCTTGGAACTGTTTGCCATTTTTGCAAACGATTCCCTTATCGATTCCAGTCGCCCCGAATGACATCACCACATTGCGGAGCGTCATTTACCTGGCAGGAAACACGGCGCCTAAGCGGCTCAAACGCTCAAAAGTTTGATTATACTTTATGAGAACCGATGACAACAGGGCAACTTGCAAAGTAGATATTTCATTTAAGGGAGGAAACACTACGAATATGCAAAAGCATTTGCTCACAAAACACGCGATGACACGCGTTTTTAATTCCGCTCCGGACTCGTGACTCTCAACCAGCAGCAGCGCTAACGTTTGCACGTCCTCTCCCATTAATGCGGCAGGTAAATAATCAACTAACAGTGCATATTATGTTAGCGCAATCTGCCTTATTACAAGACCTGCCATTACTGTACATGTAGGTGACCATGATGAGAGAGACAGACAGAGTCTGGCTGGCGCTCGCTGGTAGTTCTCGCTGCAGTCTACCGGTAGCGTCTCCTTTCAGGCCAGGATAGACGAATGTCACCCAGCAGTGTCTAAGTTTGTGGTCAAAGGCTTGCACCCATTTGCCACAGCAGATGCCCCCGATTTTTGGTAAGTGAATGTGTTTAATTGTAGGCAAGGACATTACTGGATATTCTTGTGTAATTGCCACAGAACAATTTATGTTATACTTTGTTATTGCTACAGAAGAATATTTATTTTATTATTTTACATTTACAATTTTTTTCCCCGGGGTCCCTGTGACACCACATTGAAGAGCCGTAGGCTGGATCTCTTAAGATCTCACTGTTGGGTTTGTAAGGCCATGTTACTCCTAAATTTCTATCTTGTTCAAAGAGAAGATATAAAACAAAGTTCTAAGCTAATCGACCTTAGTGTTCTCCTTTTTTAAAAAGAATCGATAAAGAATCGAATCGTTAAACAGAATCGAAAATGGAATCGGAATCGTTAAAATCTTATCAATACCCATCCCTAATGGTAAGTTCTTGAAACAAACATAGTGGACATAAATGTGTCAGCTGGTGTGTTTGTAAGAACAGGTTGAAGATATTTGCTGCACAAAAATCTATGCAACATAGACACGGTTTAAGAGGAGTACCTGTTCTGAGATTTCTTTCTAAGCCAGACACAGATGAGAACACCAAGCACCAACACCACAGAGGATGAAGTCACTGAAATCGTGATTCCTTTACGACAAACAGGAGAAAGAAAGTGATAAGAATTTGAACATCTATCAAAACAAAATAGGATCAGGAAAGCTGACTTTAAAACATACAAATGTTAACACACCTAAATTCCTTTGATTAGATCCTGACTTCTTATCCAAACCTGGAAAAAGAAACACAAACATTAGAATCACAAAGAAATCATTAATTTAGCAATCGGTGATGTTGAAACAATTTCTCACCATCATCATCATCATCTTCAGGAATCGTCACCATCACCTCTCTGTGAGGAGCAGAGAGCACTCGTGCTGCACATCCCACCTGTGTGCTGTGTTTACGTGAACCTGAGAGCACAGCTGTAGTGGTGACAGTGAATGTAGCGTTGGTGTTGGACACACTGACAGTGTTGTACTGTGAGAAGCTGAGGTCTTCTTGTGAGACACTCAGTGTTACAGTGGGAGCAGGTCGACCAGTGGCTGAACAGGAAACAACCCACTCTTCAGTAGAGTTTGACTCTCTGACATCAACAACAGGTTCATGCAGCTCTGTGAAGGATCAGGAAATATCATCAACATGTTCTTACAAACACACCAGCTGCTCACACATTTATATCAGCTATGTTTGTTTGAGTTCAATTCAATTCAAATTAGGCCTAATTATTCAAGACCTTGCATGTGAGCTGTCAGGATATCAAGATTTTGAATTCAATCTAGATTTAACAGGGATCCAGTGTAGACAAGTCAATATAGGAGAAATATGCTCTCTCTTTCTAGTCTCTGTCAGGACTCTTACTGCGGCATTTTGGATTTGAAGGCTTTTCAGGGAATTTTAGGACATCTTGATAATAATGAATTACAGTAATTCAGCCTAGGAGTAATAAAAGTATGAACTAGTTTTTCAGCGTCATTATGAGAGAGGACATGTCTAATTTTAGAGATATTGTGCAAATGGAAGAAAGCAGTCTTACATATTTGTTTAATATGTGCAATGAAGGACATAGCCTGGTCAAAAATGACTCCAAGGTTCCTCACAGTGTTACTGGAGGCCAAGGGAATGCCATCCAGAGTAAGAATCTGGTTAGATACCATATTTCTAAGAAATTTTAGTGCCAAGTAAAGCACATTTTATCTGAATTTAGAAGCAGGAAGTGAGAGGGCACACAGGTCATTACTTACTTAAGACATCCCGGCAGTTTAACTAAGTGTCAACTGCATAACAGTGAAACTGCATGCCCTAAACCCGTTTCTGTACTGCGATGAGGGTACAGTATTCTTGAAATAAGCCATTCCTCTGCATATGATTAGTTAGCTGTTTTACAACTTCAGTTCTAATCTGTCATCAGAGTCACTTATTGTTGGAAAAGGAAGGTTTAAGTTCTCACCATAGAGTTGGAGGCAGGGTCTACCGATAAAGGCTCCTTCAGGATAAGTGTTAAACAGACAGCGATAGCAGCCTTCATCCTGCTCCGTCAAATTCTTGATGACTATGGAGCAGTTCTGTAGTCCAGTGTGTTTAAACTCAAATTTATCTTTAAAGCCATCATTCACTCTCTGACCAAACTGCTTGCTGTAGGTGGCAACATTTGTCTCCACATTATTTGAAGTTGTCTGCCATGTGACCTGAACGACGTCTTTAGGCTCCAAGAGCTGACAGCTGACTTCAGCATCTTCTCCCACTGCTGCCAGCACAGTCTGCTGTGTTTGGATCACTGCTGTTAGAGCTGTAGGAGATATAGTTTAAGATGTGAGGCACATTCAGTTTTCAATTAGTCCATTTTTTTTCAGTTTTCTGTTTAAATTCAACGTCAGTATTTGCAGTAGTCATTAGTCTATGTACCGTCATTAAAGTTTTACTATAAATATGGTTGCTAAATATAGGTTAAGTGCTTCCAACATATATTAAATGTGAATATTTTCAATAGGAATAACTTTGTAAATTTTGTCATAGGCTGCCATTTACACATATGTCATTACTATGCTTAAACACATTAACTCCAGTTCAGTTCTGCTCAGTCATCAGACTGTATTGAATTATGTCAAAAGTCCTCCGCGAGATAAAACATAATTTAATGGCCAATCTGCAGCAAACACATGTAACTGCACATACTGTGAGTGGACGGAAATGCTTCAGGACCTGCCTGAGAATCTCCTGGATTATGAGATTGCCCTTGCATTAAAGTATTCTAATGGTAGTTATTAGTACTTGCACTCATAAACTCCAGAAAATGACGGCATTTTTAATTTATTTTCAAGAACAAACACGGTATAAAACAGCGGTCACGTTGCCGCACGGTGCAACTCGAGGTTGTTTCGTACTGCTTTGAATGTCGCCCATGTTCCCTTTTGGCTCCGCCCTCCAAACTTTGAAAAGTCGGTGAATGGCGGGCTCACCGTTCAGTTAAGGGAAAGCGGAGCAGCCAGAGGGAGCACCGAGAGCTCAGACTACGCGCGAGGAATTTGAACGCGAGAGCTGCATACCTGCACCCGTGAAAATACTTTGTCGTGATTACGCTTTCTCTCCCGATGAAACGCTGGACAGAGAGAGGACTTTTTGTCTCTTCTTAAATTTGCTCGAACATTTTTACAGCGCCATCATAGATACGTAAGCGCGCCTCTGCGTGTACACTATAGAGACCTAAAAACCAACTGCGTGTAAATCTGCCTCCCACTTAAATACTCAGTTAAACCCAAACAGTCCAAAGTACCAGTTCACCTTAACGAACATCCTCACGTTTAACAAAGAAGAGGAAGAAGTCAGTATTTTCGGGAAGAATCGCTTATTGGCCCATGCACGTGTGTAACATTGACACCCAGTTTCAGCTCACCTTTGTGAAAGACTGCGAAAATAAGAAGATTAGTAACATAATAACATGTAACTCTAAAGCGCGGCATCATGCCTCCGTACTTTACCGCCAAAACATTCAAACTGATTTGACGTGTAGGCTGGGCAAGTCAAAGCAGTTCCGGGTTAATTGTTCATCACAGCACTTATATAATCACATATAAACTAATAAAGTAGCTAAAAAAAAATAAGATAAAATCACACCTGAGTGGTATTATAATGTAATAACAAATAAATTATTCAACAGGCAATGTTCAGTTATCACTTCAACATGCGATATGAAGAGCGAGTCTCCCCTCTTGTGCTGCAGTGGTACAGTCCTCTTTTTATGTAACCACATACCAGCGCACCAAATATCGAAGTCAACTTTTCTGTTACACTGTCCAAGTTTTTTTTCCAGCTTGTTCTGAAACTTCCTGACAGGAAATCACAGCAAAACAAAGATAATAACATTTCAGGTATATAAATTGTGGGTTTATCTTGAGAATCCCAGAGAGGCTGTAGGCTACCCTTTTGTGTAAATTACATAATATTCTCAGCACCACTGAAGACCTTAGAGTGAAAAAAAATAGAGCTGAAACTTTTTTTTATCATCACATACAAATAAACAACCAGTATGCAAAAAGTGACACAATATATCAGTAAAGACACAGAAGAAGAAGCATTTAATGAGATATTGTGGAGAAACAAAATATCACATGTGTGTTTGCATTTTCTCCATTTTGCACAGTTGTTGTTGACTTTACAAAGATTTATACATTTAGACAATTCTTCTGGCAACCTCCTTTATCAAATTACAATATTCCTGTGAGGTTAACAGTGTCATGTATTTTCTATCTCCCCTGAAGCTGGGTTTGTGTTTCTTTTCATTTACAAACCAGGAACCTTTTATGCATTATGCAAATATGCTATGCATGATGGCAGCAAATAAAACTTTGCCTTTAAAGATCAGGGACATTTATGTTTCCATAAACTCATGTAATGCTGAATAAATAGATAGTTTACTCCATGAAACATCACATGGTTCTTAACAAGTCAACAAGTTCATTACATACTGCCTGGCATACAACATGTTTAAATTAATTATACGTGTGTGTTACACTGATGACATTATCTCCCACTGGCTATTTTGGTTTTTAGTTGGCTTCTATCACTATATAACATCAGGTCATTGTAATTTAAGAAAACTTGTATTTCTTTATTGCACTATTCCGCAGCCACACAAATCTAAATGAGACTGGAGTTTTCTGCAGGAGATCAGTGGCAGTTCCACAGCCGGTTCTTTCCTTAAGGAAAAATTCACAGCTGGGTTCTTCAAACAGTGTCAATCACCATTGTGTTATAAATAATGTGGCACCAAAAGAAAAACAAAAAACTCAGGAACTTAACAATCATGGCTTCATAGTTAGCTAACTTTCATCAGTTAGTTAAAAAAAATTGTCCAAGTTGGTTGATCCTCCTGTCTAAATCAGTCTGTTACTGGTTTTCTATAAAATCTTCACACGCTCCTCCTAAACACTCAAATTGTGAATTCTTTTTTCAAATTTTTGCTTTATTTGACATTGCCAGATGGACAAATATTCCTTCATTAAATACCTGAGAACTATGACTTCATATGTTGTGTTTTTTGCACAGATGCTGTGCACTTTAATTATACTCTGCATTACAAAAAAATGCAAAAAAATAAATAATTAACTCTACAAAGAGAAACCTACTCAAGATATATTTCCAATTGTGACTCGTCAGTGAGCGGTATTCTGATCTGGGCAGGAAGGATGGTCGAGTGCATCCCATTGTGACAGTACTTGTGTCTCAAGCTTCGATGCAGTTTTTTCAGGTTCAACATTGGTCAGCATTCTTTTTCTGAAGAGGCGTTTGTTGTCTGAGATCGCTATTAAATAAATGTCCTCTACCCCTTAAAACAAAGATAAAATATGTTTTCACTCATAATTTTCATCAATACATTAATATTGGATGGTATGTTTTATGAACAAATCAATAGCTTTAAACAGTGGAATGCTGGACACGTGCAATAAATAACTTTGCAAGTACAGAAAAGGATAAAGAGTGACTTACTTGTGAGTGTCTCTGCTTTTAGGTGTCTTACTCATCTCAAGGTCCATTTGTGAGAGCCTGAAAGGTTTATTGACACTTACACAGAGAGCACTCGTGCTGCACATCCCACCTATAATAAATGTACAAAAATGATTTTCAGTTTCCTTTGGTGTCATGTTGTACAATTTATAAAATGTCCCTGATCTAAAAATCACAGATTTTCCTGTAAAAAATAATATAACAAAGAGAACTGTCATTTGAGCCGAAATTTAGCTCTGATTGCAGTTTGAGTCTCACTCAGCCTCCGTCTGGGATTTTAAGGGGTGTATATGTAAAAGCCGTAATGTAAGCAGAGATCCCGCTTATTATTAACACACGACAAAGCCTGGGATCCACTCGGATGTTTAACAAGCAAATAATCTGATAGTGTAATATAGATTTTTTACATTGATGAAAGCAATTTTACAGTACCCAACTCCTGATTGTCCCTATTCCTAAAAGTGGAAAAACACATAAAACATTTACTTTCACTACTGATCACCTACTGATCGGAAGGTTGGTGGTTCGATTCTTGGCTCCTCCAGTCTGCATGTCAAGTATCCTTGGGCAAGATATGAACCCCAAGTTGCTCTGCGATGCGTCCATCGGAGTATGAATGTAGTTAGAGAGCACTAAGTATAGATAAAGTGCTTGTGAGAATGGGTGTGATTGGGCGAATGTGGCATGCTGTATAGAGCGCTTTGAGTACTCCGAGAGAGTAGAATCAGTCTATTTACCATTATTGGCTACAAAGCATGGATCTTCCATTTGTCAGTCAAGTGCACTGTCTGCTACAAATAAACATAAAGGTTTATCTTGATGAATCAAGGTTTTTCATTCTGCTGTAATAATGCTTAAGGAATGCTGAATAATGTAAAGAGGATGTAACCGTCCCCGAAACACTTAAATATATGTGTTTGCTTTATATGTTTGTGTGATACATTCCTGTTTAAATTAGTTCATTTATTTGTAGGAAAGGGTTAAAAAATTATTGGATAAGATGATAAAAAGGGTAGCAATGATTAAAAACTTGTCTAAAATATGTGATTACAAAATAAGAGTTTGTCAAATGTGTAAAGTGTGTAAGGTTTGTTTGAGGTAGAGTTTGTAATGGTCACATGACCAGAGTTTAGCTGAGAGCACAGTCATTGAGGGTCAGAGCATGGACACAGAGCTACATATGTGGCTAAAGTCACAACAGTAATGTTATTCTGCATGTTGTCTAAGAGGCGCACACAGTAATGGTTTTCATATATATTGTGTATATAATATTGTATGTATGTCTTACACTGGCAGTAAGAGGACATTTTCAGTGATATCCATTATATTGCATTTTTATTTAGCTCAAGACTGTTTATGGACACTAAGATGAGAGACTTTGATACGGTCAGAGATATTTGCGTTGTGAACGTTGTGTTTTCTTCAGTTTTCACAATGCCTGAAGAAAATAAGAGAGAGAGAAAAATAAACTTCCGAAGACATCAGTGTGATGCGTGGCAATTGTTTGTTGAAACCCTGTAGTTACAGAACACAAAGCTGAATGCTAACAGAAAGTGCAACCAGGGTCACCTGCCAATCAAGCATGAATCTGACCACGTTTTTCTATACAACCTGCCTAACACACGTGTGTTACACAGGCTTGTTGAATGAAGCCTTGAATATAATTCAACTACTGAACTCAACTTCTTCATTATATTAATTAAAGTAAAAGGAACTTCCGCTTTTTTAGCAGTCAAGTTCCCTCACCCATGATGTAAAAACTGAAAAAACATTTTCAAGTAACAACAGTAACAAGCTAATATCTAAAAGCTGTCTGCTTTTAGAGCTGATTTTCAACTGACAGAAAGTGTCCTGAATTGTTAAAATAAAATAAAATAAAATAAAATAATGTAGCGGTACACTGTTGATATTGCACAATCAAGAGTTTGCCTGATATTTGCAATTCACACCAGATTAGAAAGGAAATAGAAGCATAAAAGAAACTCCAGAAATAAGTTTAAAAAATTTCACAATGTCACAACTTATCAGAGACTCAAAAGGAATGATTTCACTTTATAGGTGTAAATCAAAGGATGATAAAGAGTGATCATCGCAAACTTTTATCATCTGAATTAGCTGATAAATAAAAGGTACATATGCAATTTTAAGAGAAGTACTTATCCTGAGATTTCTTTCTAAGCTCGACAGAGATGAGAGCAGCTGATGATCAACAACACAGACAGGGTATGATGACTGAAATCCTGATTCCTTAAAGAAAAAGACAGTCGAGAAGGAAATATTAACCTGAAAACCTATGAAGCAGCAACAGATTGATTGAGTCATTGAATTTTTTAACCAGGCAGTGGTGACAGAGCTCAAGGAAGACTGTTATAGCGGACGCCCTGGACCACTATCTCTGAAACGTGATTCTGTACCCTTCGCTGGTAATAACGTCCGGTCAGAGACGGGGAATGACGTCAGAGTGGAAGAACTTTATTTACCACGAGCCCACATCAAACACACTCTCGTTGGCAAGTAAGGATGTGTGTCTGAAATTAATACAAATAAGAAATAATATAATGTTTAGCATTTCTCACACTTCAGTATTACAGAGAACACCATACCACATTACAAATGAACAGAACCAGAAAAAGAGCTTATCATAACAACATAACAGGATGGCATAAACACAGAATCATAATCAATTTAACCCTGGAGAAGCCATGGGGTCAGAGCCGACTCCATTTGTTTTCTAGGGAAACAGGGTCCTCCAGGGTTAAGCCAATTCCCTCATTTATGAGTCAACACCACCCTCTAGTGGACACAATTACTCACTCAAAGGCCGCCAGGTTTACGCAGGCTTTATAAACAAGAACAAACTCGTATGCTAACTTAGTAACTCCATCAGGTAAAATCTTTGTGAACATTAACTCTCGGCAACAACTGAAACAACTTATAAATAAGGAACATCCTGTGGAGCCAGGCGACAACTTACTTACCTACAGCTGCTAACACACAAGGCAATAATAACAGCTGTTTACATTGATACATAACAGCAACAGAAATAAAATACTTTCCCAATGTGACTTACTGCGTCTATGAAGGCACAGTTGCACGTGTTGTGCAAAAAACTGATTTTCAATGTTTCTGTGTGTTTTTTATGTGTAATATCGTTACATATGTTGCTAAATAGACTTTGGTGAACAGGTATTACAAAGGGGTTATATACAAAATTAAACCTGTTTCTCAAGTATCTTTGTAACTGTGTTATTGTACTTACATTATAATCAATCAGCTCCCTTTTGTCCACTTAAAAATTGGCAAATACCGGAAATCAGTTTTTGGAAGACAATCACGTTTTGGCACAACACCCGCCTTAGTCTGATTCAATCCAAGTCCATAACTTGCCTGCAGGGAGACACAGCAAGGAGAGAACGGGTGTGCATTCTGATTGGCTATTGGCCCCTGGGGGAGTCATGCTCCTCCCATTCAGGTAACGCATGCCCTGGCAGGAGGACTTTTTAGCAAGGACCTTGACACTGTTGAAAGAATTTGCTTCCATAGAGACAAAAACCTGCAGATCTTTGAAGGATCATTTGGGAATCTCTAAACAGTGAAATAGTAAAACAACACAGTGATGGTGCGCATCAGGGAAAGAGCTTATACAGAGGTTAGATCCTGCCTTGAGACAGACACACGACTTATATCAGGTGGTAGCGTTGTTGTAGTCACTCCTGTCATCTCAATATGTACCCCACATATTTCTGGTGCTCAACAAAACTGCTTCCTCTCATTGACATGTCTCATTTCTGGAGAGGAAACGCATGTGTAAAAGTTGCACCTTCACTATAGTATTTCTGTCCTTCTCTTCTGTTCTTCTACCTTTAGCTTTGCTTGTTTTTGATCTGCTAATCTTTGCTACTCTTGGTAGAATGCGTTTATTCCCACAATGAACTTGCTGTTGCTACATTCGCGCATTATTGATATATCACCACCAATCGGAGTAATACATTCAAGTTTACTACTATGGTCAAATCGCATTAGAAATTAACAATTAAAAATGAACCTGCTAATGCAGGCTATTCCTTGAGTGAGGCCTATTTAAACAAATTACACCACACGAGGTGAGAAAATATATGTTTATACTGTACAAGGTTGCACCATTAAACTCTCTAACATGCCAGCTCACCATGATGATCATCACTAAAAAATGTAAACTTTCCCATCTATAACTAAAATACCTAACTCCCATATCGTCATATATACATTTGTTTTATTAAGATACAACTTCTCATATTTGTCAAGGACTCCAAAATATAAAAACGGAATTAACATAGTTTCATACTGTGCCGCCAAAAATTCAAATTGTACTGAACTCAGTTTCAGGTAAATTGTTCATCAGGTCACCATGGAAACACATAAACTAACAACTGAGTAAAAACCCTAAGACAAAAAGATAATATGTGAATATTATTATACAATAAACAAAGGCTATATTTAACAAGCACAGTCTTATTCCCAGTTTAAAATATGTGTCAGTCTGGTTTTCCCCTTCCATTTTAGTGGTATAGTTCACCCAAAGTACTATATGATTGACTAAATACTTCTACTATTACTCAACTCAGTTTAAAGAAAAAACCCAACATTCATATGACCGCTTTGACCAAGTACTTGTCAACAGTGAGCAATAAAAACTCCCTTTTAACAGGAACTGCTGGCAGAACCAGGCTCAGGGAGGGACAGCCACCTGCTGTGACCGGTTGGGAGTGAGATGAGGGAGACAAGACAAAAGACACACTGTGCAAGAGAGCCAGGGATTAATAATTACTAATGATTAAATGCAGAGAGGTGTATAAACACATAAATAGGGGAAAAGAAGAAACACTCAGTGCATCATGGGAAGCCCCCAGCAGCCTAGAGCCATTGCAGCGTAACTAAGGGAGGATTCTGCCACTACTATCATTATTACTACGGCTACTACAGTTACTTCTAATCATAATGATCAGTTTTTGTGTTAATGGTGTTAACACAAACATGTTTCCTTTCTAGATCTGTATGTGTTTCAACAAATTATGTTTAACCTGGACTGAAAGTCTTTATGACAGGTAAGTAAAGAAAAAGAAAAATCCTTGTTTTGGTTTGCAAATTGTAGGTTTATCACAAGGATCCCAAAGAAGCTGTATGTCATAAATTACAGTATATTTTCAGCCCAACCAGAGCCCTTTCAAGCAAAAAAAGAAAAAAAGAAAAGAAAAGAAAAATGAAAGAAATATTGTACAAATGAAATCAGACACACGGTTTAGACACATTTAATTAGTTCAACAATAAATAATATTTGAAAATAAATTATTAAAGATACATCAGTGCAAACATTTAGGATAACCACACCACAGGTTAATAACACATAATAAAGACTGGGACTAACTCACATTCATTTCACCACAGCTAAAGCTGGCATCTAGCTTAAATGTAAATTAAATGCATTTAAGCTCAATGCCAGCACATTTGCATACTGACTGCACTGTATTACTTAAAATAATATTTAATAATAGTACAAACACTGGAGTGCAAACTGCCAGAAAAGTGCCAAACTGAAAGTACACATTTACTACATAACATTTAAACATAGAAATTATTTTGTTGAGGTATTTGTTCAGATTTGCTAGGAACGTTTCCTTGAGTTGCCTCATGTGAGCCATGTGGACCCTGCATCCGTCTGCGCTTCACTGTATTCCCTGATAGGACCACTAGATGGCAGCACAGCCCCAGTGTAATACCGCCTACGGGGTATTTCCTTACTTCCACACACACACACACACACACACACACACACACACACACACACACACACTTACTGCTTAAATGTTCTGCATGCAATTCAGAAAAAACGAAAGCTATATTCCTATCACATCCTTGTGGCTTTGCACCGCTTCTTCTCCATGATATTTGTGTATTTTAATTTTTTTACATTCAGAGTCGGATGAAACATGTTTTGCTCAAAGCTCCATGACATTAAAGTGCTGAGTAGCGCCGTTCATAAGAAACGTCAATGGACAGGTCCACGCATGTGAAAGTTTGAAGCTACCTGCCAATGCTTGACCTTAATTCACAAAGGAAAGGGGTTTGTAATGCTTGCATCGCAAAAGGCAGCTAGAAAGTCTAACATTGGTTATGCATGCATGGAACATGATCCTTCTCTCTGGTTGTGCTTCCTAGAACTCCTAGAAAGAAAGAGAAAATAAAAAGAAAACAGTTTATCAGCTGGCTCATCTGTTAAGTAACTGCCTAAGATGCTATAAAACAGCACTAAAAACTCACCTTTTAATCACATACACTGCAACAGCTATACAGCAAACAATTATAGTGATGCAGATCAGTGCGATCGCTGACGGAGACGGTCCTGTCCCGGGAGAGAAAGAGCACCTGGTTAGTTTGTTCCAGAAACAAAATGACTGACGCTTCTCTGAAAGAGGAAAGGGGGGAGGGGGGATTTACATGGTCACACATTTACTGTTAAAGCCAAACAACTAATGTCCATCATCCGTCAGATGACCTCCCCAGAGAGCTACAGCTCATCAGCACCGCTCACTGTATCGTGACGTGGGTTTTTTTTTTAACTCGCCAGAAGCGAAACTGGCGTCATCGCCGTACTGAAAGCATCAGCTGACTCACAGCATAGCATTCACTCAGTCTGCTCTTAGTCACTTTTGTTTGTTATCTTTCTAGTGCGACACTCCTTGACTGCTTCATTGTCACGCAGTTTGTCCCAAGTCATCAGGAAATGGATTTAACATGACTTGGAATTTCGGGGAATTCCTGCGTTCCTGATAAGTGAAAAAAGGAACAAACAAACAAACAAAAACGACGCAGTTTAGTGAGCCTGAATTTTCCTGTTAGCTCTTAATCACAAACAGGAGTCTATGTTTTAGTTTGATTAGCACCAAATAGAACACAAAACCTGTTTAAGCAAGATTTGCATCCAAATATCACACTCTGGGCAGGCTGTGGTGGAGGAGTGACATCACTTTCAGTCAGTGCGCACTCTGCTGGGAACGTTCCAGGAAGCTGGGACCAGATCACCACAGGGACTTCCTACCTGCATCATTTTCTAAACAACCGCAGCTAAGGTGTCACTCAAAACTCTGTCTCATAATTTCACTCTTCACTTCCCGATAGTTAGATATTTAGTAATAGTTTCATGGAAGTCTTTTTCCCTGTAAACTCCACCTACGCTTGAATTAGATGATTAGAATGAACTCCCAGCGCGTGTTCATTTATTAGGAATATTTGTTTCCAAGCATTACGCCAGTGTTATACATAAATGCGGTTACATAAAATGACTCGTGCATACTTCTCTGGTCATCCCCGTCCGCCGATGCAGAGGAGGAGAAAGCGATCCTCTCTTCCCTCTCTCCAATTTTTCCACGGTTCAGCACACACGCCGCGTGTCCACTCCAACCGGGAGGTACTTTCACAGTTATGTTGCTGCTGGTGTTGAACGTGTGGTCGCTGTTTTTTACTGTCACTGTCTGTGGTTCTTCTGCGATTGTGGCTCCATCTGAAAGGTTCCACTCTATGGTGGGAGCTGGTTTGCCTGTGGCGGAGCAGCTAAACACAACTTCTCCATCTTGCTTTGCGTGGTGCATTGTGTTCACCTTTGATATCCCTTTACGGACAAATTAAATATTGATCAGTTTGAGAACTGCAGCCAGCTTAATGTCACAAGTAACAGTAATAATAAAGGTCAGGATTTTTTCCTCTCTTTAACAAAAAAGAAAAAGAAAAAAAAAGCTGGCTCTATTTTTTTCTTAACATAACGGCTCTCTCAATTTCAGAGGTTACTTATAATGTCCGTTCATATGAATGGGTTTGCAGCAATCTACCTTGCACTTTGAGGCAAATCTGGCTTCCTTTTGAGCCGCCAGGAAAGGTGTTAAAGGCGCAGAATAAACAACTCTCATCCTCCCATGTGAGATTCGTCAGTTTGATCGCCGAAGGGCTGAAAGACTCTTTCGTAACGAGCACTTTTCCACGGTAGGGCGTTTTTACTTCTATTCCAAAGCGCTCGCTGTATGTTGCCATGTCCTCCACTGTCCCCTTGACGAACCTTTGCCAAGTAACCTGCAGCACACCTGCCGGTAAAAGCCAAAAGGTAATCCAGTAAGCACCCTGCATAGAGTGTGTTAATATTTAACTAATGTTCTGGATAACATCAGCAGCTCAGAGATTAGGATCTGGGCGAGGACAACAACTAAATAATAGAATTCATAATAATAATAATTTAAAAAACAAACAAGCGCACCTGTGGAGTTTGACAGCGCGCACCTGTAGTGCGCATCACTGCCGTACTCAGCTGTTGTGTTTCCGTGTACACTGACTGAAGCCGAGGCTGAAATACTGGAAGCTGAATGAAAGTAAGTGCAGATTCGATAGGAAAAAAAGCTTTTATGCTACTCAGTAATGCAGCACAGTAAAAAGGAACAGACCTGACAGTTAATCTCCTATATAAACTGCACATTTCACCAAAATACAACTCGCACAATTTTTTTTTTTTTTTTGCATTTTTACTTTAAAATCCTGGTACAACTCTTTAAATGGTATAATACATAATAATACATTTCCCTCTGCATATTAAAAGTCTGGATCTGGATCATAAAACCATAAAAAGGCAGGGTTGTAAAATTCTGTATCATATTATTATGATTAATATAATAATAGCAAATAATATAAAGGAGCTGCGTTTAGAGAGACTTACCTTTGAATAAACAAAAAACAATCAGGAGGAGGGACATCATCTTTGCTTCACTGCTGTGTAGTCAACACTTTCGTTTTGTCCCTGTACCGGCTATTTATGCTGCTCAAAATGAAACTTTAACAGGGAATTCCCTGACTGAGTGCGGACCCATATGAAACCCTTTGAGGTAAGACAAACGCATGATTTCTGGTTGTATTTCAGCTCATAAGCTTCTCATAAATGAGGCACTGATTGGTGGTTTGATATATTTTTGCAAGATATGAAAAAAAAAATTAAGTCAAATACACGGTGTGCCTAAAACTTTTTTGAAGAAATACTTGATTAATGCAAATAAATGTACATTAATTGATATATTTTCATTGCATTCATTCTGTTTGATATTCCATTTCTTCCCATTAATTTGCCAATATAATCATATTTTTTTCAGGCAGTATTTTGGCACATTGATTAGCACGGTTGAGTTCAAGTCCACAATCAAGCCAGGCTCTCTCTGTGTGGAGTTTTCATGTTCTTCCCATGTTTCTCTCTGGGTACTCTGGCTTCCTCCCAAAGACATGCAGTTAGTGCTGTTAGGTTCATTGTCGATTCTAAATTGCCCATAGGTATAAATGGTTGTCTGTCTCTATGTGTTAGCCATACAACAGACTGGTTACCTGTTGCCCTAAGACAGCTGTGATAGGCTCCATGACCAGTTTGCTCGTCTTTGTTCTCACGTCAAAGAGGGGTTTCCAAAAGTCATTATTAAACTAAGCTGGAAATCCCTTTGGAAGACCTTGTAGACCGGGGGTGGGCAACTCCAGGCCTCGAGGGCCAGTGTCCTGCAGGTTTTAGTTGTGTCCTTGATCCAACACAGCTGATCTAAATTGCTAAATGACCTCCTCAACATGTCTTGAAGTTCTCCAGAGGCCTGGTAATGAACTAATCATTTGATTCAGGTGTGTTGACCCAGGGTGAGATCTAAAACCTGCAGGACTCCGGCACTTGAGGGCTGGAGTTGCCCACCCCTGATCTAGACTATGGGCAAACTGTAAATCATTGTGCAATAAAGGGACTATGTCTATGATCAGCATAAAGGACTCTAGAGAACAACGTTTGACCTTTGATAAATCTCGCCTTGGAAATTTTTGGAGATCTTTTTGGCACATTATTTTTCATCCACTCTTCCTTATCTTGGGCCTCTGATAATTTTGTACTTGTTTCTGCAGGACTAAGCAGGTATGAGTCATCATGTTGGCAAAAGAAATCACAGAAAAGCAAAAACGTGTATCCTGATACTGAAAACCCCATTTTTTTAAGGCTTTCTCCAACATAAGACTATCTGCCCCAATGACAGGAATGACCCACACCTTTTTTACATCTTGGCTCATCTGAAGAATCATATGATGACTAGTGGGTTGATGACCCTCAAGACAGCCCACACCGGGGGTTTAATAAACTGTGACTCTCCACCAGCTGTTGTAGAACTGAAGAAGCTTCTTGAAAAAGAGATAACACATCTTCAAAAACCTAAAGACATCCAGTTGCATTTTTTAAGCTCTCAAGATTAGAGAGAAGATATACAGAAATATTAGAAAGAGAACTCCTTAAGCGCCTTGAGGTGACTGTTGTGATTTGGCACTATATAAATAAAATGTAATTTAATTTAATTCAATAATCTGATGATCCTCGATGAGCAAGTATCTGGCGAGAGTAGGAAGGAAGGGCCCCTATTTAACAGGAAGAACAACCAGATTCAGGGTGTCATGAAATGAGGAGGAGGACCCCCAAATGCTGTCTTCAACAGACAGATTTAAAGGAAAACTTAAGTGAAGGTTTTGAAGATAACATAGTCCAACAGGAAGCTAAAGCCGTGGAATCCAGAAGAGTCATGTGATCAAAAAACTTACTGGCAACACACCATGACAGATGACTAATCCACCAATAAAACAGATTAGAGGGCGTCTTTTAAGCAAGAGCCACTTAAGGGAAATGAATACAACTATGGAGAACACACAGGTATCAACAATCATGGAAAAAAGACTAGGGGAAATACAACTGATTACTAAACATGTGAGACAAACACTACCAAAGTAAAACAGGAAACAAATAACATTTTACAAAGATAGCAAGATACAGGAAACATGGGGGAACCAGAACAAACAGAATCAGGGAATATAAGCAAACTATAACCGAGAACTAAAATAGACAGCAAAACTAAAACCAGGGATAGCCTGAGGATATATGCAAAGAAACCAACCGTGAATATCTGCAAGAAAAAAAATAGCAACTCAAAGCACAATAACAGAAGAATCACAAAAAGAAACACAAACCTTAAAACAAAACCTAGTGTCCGTGACATAGAGAGGGACAGTCATCTACAGCAAGAACAAGCAGGACAAAACAAGGATCCAAGGATTTCATGTACAAATTTCATCATCATCATCATCATCATCGTCATCATCATCATCATCATCATCATCATCATCATCATCATCCATAACAGTCTACAATTCAGATCTCGGATGCAAAATATAGGCTATGTGTCTTGACAGGCTAAATTATGCAGATATATTCTAAATGTCAATTGCCTGCATGTTATATTTTTACACCCGACATAAATAATGTAATTTAAATCAAATCAAATCACTTCTATTGTCACATCACATGTTCAGGTACACTGGTACAGCACATGCCAGTGAAATTCTTGTGTGCGAGCTTCACAAGTAACAGAGGTGTGCAAAATGCAACAATATAAGAACAAGCAAAATATAAGGATGGGAATTTGAAAATTATAAGAATAAATATAATATGCATACTGAATATGTATATATACGTGTGTGTGTGTGTGTGTGTGTGTGTGTGTGTGTGTGTGTGTATATAAATCAAATCAAATATACAGAGGTCAGCAGTTGGATACTTTGAAAAACAAGTGGCATTTATGTACAGTATGGAGCGCTGTTAACCCTGTTAAGACTATTCTCTGTCCCCTCAGTCATACCCTCTTCGGGATGGTTGGGCTTATCTGATGTTTCCAAAACATCCCATTAAAAAGAGTTCTATCAGTGTTACACAGATCATACTGGAACCATTAAATTCTTTTTCTTTTACTCTTAAAGTGGCAGGATATCAGTGATTCACTGTGTATGTACTGGACTCGGCTAATAACTTCAGTAATATGAATTGATTTTGTTTTGTCCACATTATCTCTCTGTTAGCTGTCCTTTGACACATCACAGGCTCTACAAAGGTTCACCTCAGGTGTCTTGTAAAAGTGTAAGCCAGCCCAGCCTGATAGCTGAAGACTCCCTCCCTCGTCCTTTTAAAGCCACAATAAGCTTGGACTATCCGAGTGAAATCCTCAACTGAGTTAATATTTTACCTCATTTAATATGTATTCTATTATTTAATTATTTGAACAATCTTTGCCAGAACTGCTTGATTGTCAAAGGCTGTCAATAGTTTTATAACAGACACTGGTCCAGCTCAACAGATCAACAGATACAAAAAAAGAACAATGTCCTATATGTATGTATATGTGTGTGTGTGTGTGTGTGTGTGTGTGTGTGTGTGTGTGTGTGTACAATGTTCATATATAGGGATGGGTACCGGTGTCCGGTGCCATCTGACATAAACGGTAGTAACCAGACCGAAAAGCAGCGCACATTTCGGTGCTTTATTTCGGTGCTTTTTTTTCCTGAGCTGTGATACACTTTAGATTCTAGCCAATCATTTTACGTTTCCGAGGATAGTAGGCGGGTCCAGGTACGTACGTTCTTTTAGAGCAGAGCTACAGATTAAAAATGCCCAAGGCGAAGCGGTCAAAAGTCTGGCTGTACTTCACAGCAAAATATGCAAACTCAGCAGCAACAAGTGCTTTAAGCTGATACTGTGATACTGTCAAAGGAGGTAACACCTCAAATCTGATGAAACACCTGGCGACACATAGCGGGTTTTTTTAAAGCCGAGAAATGCGCCGCATTTGATAGCTTGCTGCGAGACCTTACACCGAGCACATCTACTGCGGGTGTGGTGCCTGTTATGACCCGGAGTTAGCAACATCCTCCGAGAACCTGAAAAGGAGAGTCCTGGCCCCTAGCCCTGCCAGTGTAGCAGAAATGATGAGGATGATGATGCAGCAGCAGCCGTTCTTTTCTGCGTGAGGAGCTTAATGTTGCTCGTGTGTAATTTACTTTGAGTAGGCTAACCACGTTATTACATTAATGCATGTAAGGTGAACTAGCAAACATCATCATAGCTACATGCTGCTGTCTTCTTGTTTGATGGCAGATACTCCCTTCACCCTGGCCAAAAAGGCTAAAATGACCAAAGAAAAAGTGGAAAACAGTTAAACATGAGAGGTTTTTGGACAAAGTTTGTGTTTTTTCCATTGTTTAAGCACTGCTTCCAGCCAAGAGTGATACCATATATGCCACATAGCTGCAGAAAAGGCTAACATTGTTATCTTTTTACAAAAACCAGCTGAACATGAGAGGTTTATGGACCAATTTTGTGTTCTCCATTCTTTAAGCACCGGTTTGAGCACCGTTTAAGCACCGGCAAGTTTCAAAAGTACCGGTTTGGCACCGATATCGGATAAAACCTAAACGATACCCATCCCTATTCATATATGTTTGTGTGGACCAAAGATTTGAATGTTACTGTACCTCTGAGGACCACCAGCCCTTATGGGGACAAAACACCTGTCCCCGTGAGTTTGAAGGCATTTTCGAGACTCAAAATGTGGTTTTACTGACAGGTTGTGGTTAGGTTTAGGCTAAGGGTTTGGATTTGGATTAGACATTCATTTTTGATGTTTACAACAACAACAACAACAATCTTTATTTATAGAGCACATTTAAAAACCAACGGCATGCCAAAGTGCTTAACATAAAACAAATTAACACAAGTAGGGTTAGGGTAAGCAGCTAGGGAAAGCATTGTGTCAGTTAGATATCCTCACTAAGATATGAAACCAAAGAGCAAACTCAACATGAAGTCGTGTGTGTAAGAAAGCAAAACAGTACTTGAGGTTTTGAGTACCACAGATAAAGCCGTCATCACACATTTGGATTCCAGTTCCTCTGACACACTCAGAAATGATGTCAGTAACATACTGGCAAAGACATAATTGTTAAAAAAAAGAGTTTCTAGTGGGATGGCTGTTTAGCGCCGAATTCTTGCTGAATCAAGCCTCAGCTATTTTAACGTCACTTAAAAAGGCAGTGACTCACACTTACAAGACTACTGTAAGGTAGTCATGTATTTGTCGGCTTACCACTTTTTTCTTCTCTGTTTACAACATCTCCAGTAATCTCAAATGGTCAAAAGAAAAAAAGAAAACCCCAAAAGCAGAAGTCCCCAGACCATTTGTAGTTTTGTTGTTATGTGTTACTGAAGGCTGATGGTAAGTATTCGTGTGGTTTTTGACAAATATGCCTTCAATTGACGTCCAAACCTGTGCTGGGGAAGTTTGTCCAGATGAGGGGGCAGTAGGTAAGTAAGGTACCGTGGAACAAAAGAAAAAGCATAAAACAGGATTTTAGGAGCATATTTTATTTCTGGCTTTTTGCTAAACAGAAAATAATCAACAAAAACAGTTTTTGCACTCTAAGTAAGTAAGTAAAATTTTATTTATATAGCACATTTCTAGATAAAAGATCACAAAGTGCTTTACAAGGCATAAAACAAAAACAGTCAAAAGTTTAAAAAATGCAATTTTAAAAAGATGTGTTTTTAGCTGTTTTTTAAAAGTAATCACTTAGTCTGCAGAGCTTAAGTTCTGAGGAAGAGAATTCCACAGTCTGGCGGCCAGAGTGGCAAAAGCTCGA